AAAATTTGAAAATGCATGTAGTTATAAATTGCAATTGTAACAGTGAAAATTGAGACGTGAATAGCTTGTGTTCTTTTAAATGGTGTTTTTAGATAACAGAGTTAAGTTAGTGTTCATACCATGTGCACCAGTGTTTGTCTAAAATATGAATGCAAATATCAGTATTAAAAAGAAAGCAATGAATGGTTTAATCCAGTACGAAATGTCGAAATTCCATCAGTTTTCTTTCCTTCAGAGACATAATAGGGCTAATTTGGTAAGTAGGACCTACTATCATATATTCATCATCTTTATTCTTAATTTTATTCTTAATTATTTTATTCTTATCTTTAATTAAAATTGTGAAATTTTATGTCCCATTTAATATTTAAGGTCATATTTTACACTTTTTAGGTCATATTTGACATAATTTTGGGTCATAAGTGCATGCATATATTTATAGTTTTTAGGTCATAAAAATCTGGGCCCTAGTAATGTCATGATTTTTGAATACCTAGTTTGGGTTCTAGCCCTGAAAGTGGCTGTTCCACTAGAGGTTTCTCATAGATTTCTTCAGTCTTTCCAGGATATACCTGGGTTGTAACCTGTAATAAGTCATATCCATTGTATATCATTGTAATCGTCTTTCATCCTCACAACTTGATCATTGTTAACAGTTTGAGGACCGGTCGCATGATATCATGATTTTAAGACACGTTAGGTTGTAACACGCTATACCTTGCTCTGACACCACCCAGGTTGCACACAGCTGCATAATAAAACTCTGAAATGTTTGCTTACTTGTCAGTAACTTGACCTCGCTGTTTTCTTAGCCCACTATAAAGGAAAATGCTTTGCTGCTCTTCAAGCTGTATGTATCAGCCAGTAGTTAGTGGTGGAGTATGTACAAGGACAAATTCTTCTCCGATGGGCTAGCTGACCTGCCTTGTGAGATGCGTAGTCATGGTGATTCAGAGAGCGACAGTGACAGGGGAGAACAAAGAATTGTGGCCACAGACAGTAAAAGTGACGGTAGCTCCGACGATAATGCGGGTAATAACATTGCGGGGACAGTGAAAAATCTAAAAAAAATTACAAAAATCTAAACCCTGATTCAAAATTGAAATACAAAGCATTTCTGATGAATGTGGCAAAGGCCTGGGCTACAGACCAGATGGTGGCGGCAGAACCAGAGTCAGACAGAGACTTAGTGCGACTGGGCCCATCAATTCCCACCCCACACAGGCCTCATGTGGACTCCCCAGGGTGACTCTCGGGTGATATGTGGAAACATACCCTTGTGAAAATTGTGAAGAGTGAACATTCCAAGGGGAAGCATCCTTCTAGGCAATGCCGTGTTTGCACAGTTCACAAAAAAAGGAGTACATCTACATTTGCAAGTTCTGTGTAATGCCACTTCACAAAGGGGAATGTTTCCAGAAATATCACACCCTCAGACACTTCTAGGAGCATTGGTAAGTCTTCTCCAAAAATTTTAGTTCATAAAGTTAATTAGGAGATTTTATATTAATTTTCAAAGTGAACAGTGCACAAGTTAGGATAGTAGGTTTAATAATGGCGGCCCCAGGGTGATTTAAATATTTAAATCGCCGGTCCTTAATGTGTTAAGGAGACTTTGCAAATGATGTTGCCTTATCTGATCAGTCTAAAGTGATATTACTTGAATTTGCCAAATGAGCTGAAGATTTTGTGATATGAACTTTGCATGCATATGGCCCAGTCATATAGAAGTCCAAGCTTTTGATTTCCTTTATCCTTGGAGATTCAGATGTCAGTAGTTATGGATAGGACCACCAGGCAGTAGTGAGAGGTACATATGCTTTAAGCAGCATTGCAATCTCAACCTCCATGGAAAACAAACAAACCTTTTACATAGAAAAATAGAGTGTATAGTAGTAATGTCAAAAATAATAGCTGGTAGAGAAATTTATAGTGTCTGTCAATTTTATTTTCTGTCTGAGTGCCAGATCACTCAACTCATTGCCATGAAAAACTTTGATCTCGTATACTAATACTGATGTTTAATAATACACGAACTTCACATTATATGGACAGTCAGTCGGTACATTTTTGTGTTAATGCACCTGAAAATGAATACATGTTTTTGGTATGTGTAATGAATTTTTATTATTGTGAGACCATACTAAGTCCTATGTATGTCTCAGCTCTGCCCACCACACTTCCTGTGCCTCACATAGCCACTATATTGTTTGTTACTTAATGTGCACAGAGCATTATCAATTTTTGTGTTTTATCTCAAAATATCTTGCCTTCCATCATGACTTGGGAGCACTCATTGTTATAATAAATATATTATGGCATGTAGACCCATTGCTAGGTGGCAACAGCAAGATACGCAACTGTACAGTGGCCATTGCTAGGCAGCGACCCTCAAACAACAACAGGAATGATGTTTTCTGCGTGGTCTGCTAAGCAGCAGTTGAACAGCAACCGAGGAATGGTGTTTTCTGTGTGGTCTGTGCCGAGATGTTATAAGCAGGACAGTTAGTGAGAGTTAGATGAGTGGAGTGAGTTGTTGGTTGGTGAGTTAGTGATAGGACTGCTGCAGTTCGGTTGCTGTGAGCTTTTGCTGTGAGAAGCTAGTAGCTGAGGCTGGGAAGAGTTCAGGATCCCAGGGGAAAGGGAATTTCCGCTGTTGGAAGCTGCTACCAAGCAATGGCTAGTGGAGACCGTAACAGACTGAGAACTGATATGTGTGACAGTGAGATGTAAAGTGTAGTAATGAGTTGTATAAGAGACCAATAAATCCCATTTTCAATCCAAAATGCATCTGCAGTCAGTCATACACGTGACAGTATGTGTTGTGGGTGTATTGGCATTGGAATGGATGTGATGGCATGAGTCATGATTGATGATGATGATGATGATGACGACAACGGTGATAATGGTAACGAAATAAGTTCATATATGTATCCTCTGTATCTTTTTTCTCCCACCTTTGGCGCTCCGGTTCCAGTTAGGGCCTTGGCCTACCTCCATGAAACTGTTTCACTTCGGTTTACTAAATCTTAGACATTCGATAGGACTCCTTGGGCGGGTGATCAGCTCATCACAAGGCCTCTACCTGGGCACAAATACAGAAAGATGTGCACAAACACACATACAAACTGAACATCCATGCCCTGAGTGAGATTTGAACCCACAATCCCGGCTTCCAAGCGAGCAAAGACAGTGCATGCCTTAGACCATTTGGCTACCATGGCCAGTACTGTGTCTCATACTGTTACTTATTGCTTGTCAGGACACCATTCCTCTAATTATTGCTCTTCACACTTTTCACACCACAGCTAAAAGCACCAAAGACATTGGCTTGTCATTAATCAGTTAGTATAGTATTGCTGCCAATATATGGCATGAGATATGACATACATGCATTTAGAGGAAAGGCAGGCCTCACACGTGATGTATTCATCTTAATGTTTGAAGGTCATTTGAGTAAATTATTCTAGATTTCTCTGTGCAGTTGTACTTACCACAATCAACTGGATTTTTTCTAGCTGGTAGTTTTGCGGTGGGGTGTATCAGTCAAATGGTTAAATTAACAGGAAACCATATTCATTTAATTAATTTTCATATTAAAACAACTGTGAAGGAATGCCTCATTTTCATGAAATGAGAGATTAGTATATGTTATTGCCCTGATTGTGTATAACTGAATGTTTACAAATGAATATATCTGTTTATAGGTACCATTTTGTAGCTCAAATGATTCAAGTGCAACAGCCCTTTTAAATCTCTACCCATCCTGGCAGTGTGAGTCTGCTGTGGGATATCTGGCAGTGTATCGTCTTTGCTTTGCTCTTTCTGCATTCTTCTTTCTCATGGCACTCATTATGATTGGTGTGAAGACATCAAAGGATCCTCGTGCTGGCATACAGAATGGGTTTGTACTAATGTATTTGTACTGTATACATACCTATGGTATTGGTCAGTTGGGATTTGTTCTGTGCAGAATTGAAGAGGCAGTTTTGGATACATTTTATTTTTTATTTTTAGGCTTCTTTCCTTCCATAACAAAATAGAATAGATTAGAAAGGTTACTATGTTTTCTCTGTGTCTATATATGTGTGCCCTCTTCAACTTTTGAACTAGTTGGCCAGTTTTCACAGAATCTGGAATGTACATTACACCATTGAAAGCCTTACAGTTTTTCAGTTTTCTGTAGTCAGTAATAAGAACAAGGCAGATTCTTCTGTTTGGTGCAGAAATAGCACTAAATGTAGGGTTCTGTTTTCAAATGTATGTAACTTGGTTTTTGGAGAATGTCAAATAATATTGGCACATGCAAGAAATATATATTTAGCTTTTTGTATGATGGCATTAGCAAATAAATCGGGGAGCTAAATATGTGAAATTTAGTTTGGAGTTAGATCGTAAATGTACTGTGGCATATAGACGTATTGCTAGGCAACAATGGCGAAACAGACGAGACAACAGCCGTTGCTAGGCAGTGGCCTGCACGCAACAGCGGAAGTACTGTTGGAAGCGGTGTTTTCTGTGTGAGGCTATATCATGTTACTGACAAAGTTCAGTTCAGTTAGGGCAGTGAAGTGGTTAGTGAGTGAGTGAAAGGACTGCTGCAGTTCAGTCCTAGTTTACTACTGCTGGAATCTAGTAGCTGAGGCACAGGGACAGTTTGGGAATCCAGAGTAAGGGGAACACCAGCATTGGAAGCTGTTACCAGGCAATGACTGGTGAAGAGACAGCAGACTGAAAAGACTTAGTGCATGCTTTATTGAATTGTAGTGTTTGTGAATTAGTGATAGTGCTATAGATGTAGTTGCAACAGCTGGTGTCAGAAGTGGTTGGATTGGACTCTGCATTGGATTGTTATACTGCCATACTACAAAAATGGAACAAATGATGAAACATCTGGTAGCCGCCATACAAACGATGGCTGCTAAGATATATGCCAACCAAAAGGATATAAAAGGACATGTGAGAGAGCAATGAGAGCTGTTCAAGAACACCTGAAAGAAGAACAGAGAGGTGACCAAGGACTCCTGAAAGAAGTGTTGGCCAAGATGAAAACCAGTCAAGAAAGGATGGATACCAAGTTAGATGCCCATTATGAAAGAATGACGGCCAGGATGAACCCCAACCTAGAGAAAATGGAGGCCACAGTGGATGTCTTCAAAGAAAGTTAAACAAACGAGACACCATTAATGTGGAAGCCGGTTGAGAAAAGTCAGAGGCCATAGCAGAGCAGTAGCATGCCCCTAAGGAAGAGGCCGCAAAGGAAACTATTGGAGGACTGGTGGACAAATATGGGGACTGGCATCTAGCTGTAGGGTGCCATTGAAGAAGTGGACCTTGGGCAGTGGTGTGTCCCAGTAGAAGTTGGCCGCTGCCCAAGGATGGTTGACCCACCATGCAATTCCTGCACTGTGCAAGGGACAAGGTCATCAGGTACCAAGCAGGACAGTGTTGTTTGAGGAGCACCTAATGGATGAACATTTGGTGAGAGACGTTGGCCACAACTGGAATGCAACAGTGGTATAAGGGATTGAGGCCAGAAAGAGCAGTTACATCTAGGAAGCAAGAGGGCATTCAGCAAGACTGTCAGACAGACTTTTGGATTGGAGGTTGTGAAGCGAATTGTTGGGATTCCATCAGGTTACCAGACATGAGTAAGTGGACATTGTGGAGGGGTTGGCCCCCTCTGAAATGACAGAAGAGACTACTAGCACCATAAGAGGAGTGGGGGCACTGACCACTTCTAGAACTTTTGTTCACACCAACTGGAATGGAACCCTAGATCGAAGGAGATGGTGGTACACCTGGACTGTCCTGCACCTTAAAAGGGAGCTGCTTGGGATGAGCTGCCTTAAAGAGGGAGCAGCGGGAGAGTTATCACCTTGAGATCTGAGCCACAAGGAAGGAAGGAAGGTGAGCCTGATCACAGACATCCTAGGCACAGCCCTTGGAAAAGATGAAATTGTGGTACATCTGTAGACTATTTGGAACAAAATAGCCTTAAGGACGTAGAAATGTGGCATATTGTTAGACAATGACCATGAAACAAACAATGAGGCAATGGCCGTTTATAGGCAGCGGCCTAAGCGCAGCAGTGGAACTACTGTTGGAAGCAGTGTTTTCTGTGTGGTCCTGTCCAAGGCGATATCATGTGACCGACTGAGTTCAGTTCAGTTAATGCAGTAGAGTGGGGTGAGCGGAGTGAATTGGTTGGTGAGTAAGTGGGTTAGAGGACTGTTTCTGTTCAGTCCTTATTTACTGTTGCTGTTAGAAGCTGGTAGCTGAGGCACTGGGATGGTTCAAGAATCCAGAGTAAGGGGAACTGCCACCATTGGAAGCTGTTACCAGGCAACAATTTGTGAAGACATAGCAGACTGGAAAGACTTAGTTCATGCTGTAGTGAATTGTAGAGAGTGTGAATTAGTTACTGTAGTTACAATCTGTAAGTGGTCAATAAATCCAATTACCCATCCAATCCCTGTCTGTAGTCAATTATACATATGACAATACCTGTAATAATATTGTCAGTCAGTGATTATTTACTTGGCAAGGACTCAAAAATTTAAGGCTATGTCTGTAAAATTTAATGGTACTTATAACTTTTACCCCCAACCAGAAAATAACAACAAATGATTCTTGTAACGTATAACATGTTTACTGTTGCAAGTAATAACAAAATTCTGACTGAAGTAGGATTTGATTGTATAATCATTCATGCATGATCCGAAGTTCAGCATGCTAAGCCATGAGCTACATTACATTTCACTTTTGGGTCATAAATATGCATTATCTGAATATGACATTAGTAGCACTAGAAGTATGTGCAATAATAAAGTAAATTTTATGAGCTTTCTCATGCTGCCTCATTTATTCTATAAAAATGAAAATAGACTTGAAAAGATTCTGACGATGGTGTAAGCTGTACAGAACTATTAGGCTTATTTTGGAATCTATCCATCGTCTGGTATATATAAGACAAAAAACCACGTTTCGGAGACTGAGTCCAACTGAGTAGGTCTATTCTGCCCCATCCACCTGAGGATGGAGATAGATCCAGTCTCTGAAACGTGGTTTTTTTGTCTTATACGTGTATACCAGATGATGGATAGAGCCCAGAATAAGCTAATTGTTCTGTATAAAAATGTAGTCCTTCATAAAGAATTGTTTTATAGCACCTTTTAAAGAAGAGTTCTGTGTTCCGGGATCATGCAGTCTGTTCACATTGGCTTATTTTTCAGCCCTGAAGAGGGATGCGATATATTCCTCCGAAATGTTGGTTGACTTTCAATGGACTACTTGGTGCTATGTCCCAGAAGATAGACCTCTTCATAACTGCTGATACAAGAATCTCAGATCGTACTTACTGAAGGAATTCGTGTTTCTGATAGGAGCTTTACTTCTGCCTTATGAGACCCTTCATGCTGTTGTAAAAATCAGTAGGAAACTACTGTCAAATTTGTAATTTATTTTAATTTATTTATTTATATTTTCTACAGTTTTTGGGCCATTAAGTATCTGCTGGTGATCGGTGGAATGGTTGGTGCTTTCTTTATCCCTGAGGGCTCTTTTGGAACTACGTGGATGTATTTTGGCATGATTGGAGGTTTCCTGTTTATCATCATCCAGTTAATTCTCATCATTGATTTTGCTCACTCCTGGGCTGAGAGCTGGGTTGGTAACTACGAGGAAACCGAATCCAAAGCTTGGTAAGGCTACTAGATGGTTGCAACATTATTTTGATAATAAGTGTTATTTCTTAACATGTTGTAGGGCTGTGTGTGAAGTTCACATACTGAAACCTTTGAACAGTAACCCTTCTGTTTTCAAGTGTCAACAAGAAACAAATTTGTAAGGCTAACTGCATTAGAATGTAATACTGAGATTCTGAGCAGTAGGGTATATTTACATACATTATAACATTGTAGTTCCCAGCATCATTGTGTTACAGAAACAGTGAGTGAGACTAGGGACTGCATTAATTTGGTTCAGGATAGAATCTGGTTGCAGCCTGTTGTGAACACAGGAGCAGACCTTTGGAATTTGTAAAATGTGAAGAATTTCTTGACTAGCTGAGAAATTATTAGCTTCTTAAGGGGCCACACCATAGCTCAAGCGGTTAATCGCTGGCTTCCCACTGCGGCAGCCCAGGTTTGATCCCGGCTCTGGTCAAGTGGGATTTGTGGTGGACAAAGTGGCGCTGGGGCAGGTTTTCTCCAAGTACTTTGGTTTCCCCTGCCAATCTTCATTCCACCAGTTGCTCCACAATCACCCTCACCTATTATCTGGGGCTGGTACAGTAGGCCAGAAGTGGCTGCGGTACAAGGGACTTAGTCCCACCCCACTAGCAATAAAAAAAATTAGCTTCTCAAGAAGGACTCTGCTCCATGGAAATTTATGTAATTTAAATGATAGCATTAATGCCATTAATAGAAATGAGAATTGTCAGCAAGACATAAATAAATGTAACAACTAACTAATTGCCTTGCGTTGTCTTTTGTTTGTGTATTTTGTTTCCTTTATTATTATTATTTCAATATGCCAATAACATTTAATGGCAAATCAGTGTGTGATTATTCTTTCGTTTAGTGCTTCACTTGTAATTTTGTGTTACAGGTATGCAGCATTGCTTATTTTCACATTATTGAACTATGCACTGGCCATTACTGGTATAGTGTTGCTGTTTGTTTATTTCACTCTGGTAAGTACATGACTTCAGAATAGCCATAATTTAAAGTTACTTTTCACAAGGAGATGCCACAACAATCATAGGCAATTTTTCTTTGATGTGACTTATTACATTTAGGAGCAGTGTATTCAACACTTGTTAGGTTAGCTTTGCTTTGTCCATCCATCCATCCATAACTATGTAACAGTTCCTCTTTGGGTGAACAGATTTTTTCTTAAAATTGGAATTTTGAGTCAGTAATAAACCTTTTTTTTTCTGCTTCGTTTCTTAGCATCCATTCTATACAATATGTTATTTTTTATTTGCCCCCAGCTTGTTCATCTTTTCTTGATGTCTTCCAGTACCCAGCTAACCTGTGTTGTCCAGGATCATCCCATAGGTCACTTTGAAATGTAATTCTGATGCCCTTCTCATTATCCATATCATACATATCCCTTCTTGTTACATGGCCAAGGTGTTAACAATCATATCTTTTCTAACACAAGTTATGAATTCCATCTACTTCTGTGTGAATTTCATGTTTAATTTCATCCTGTTTTCTCTTTCTATTAATAATTTTGAAAGTTTTGTACCTGTTGCTTGGATTTTGATTTTGTTTTTCTTTGTAAAAGCCCATGTTTCAGCATTGATAATTGATAATTCATTTAACATCCATAACTGCAGGCACAATTGCATGAGTCAGTTGAAAACAACTACATGTAAACAACCCTTAAAAAATGTACAAAACATAATACAAGACAATGTGCAATTCAGTTCCTTTTTTGATCAGTATCCCCATGCTATAGCTTATCAACCATGGATGACAACTCCCAGCAATTTAATATAAAGCAATATATATAATTAATCCACCAAAAACACAAGTCATCCATGCAAAGTAAGCATTACACGTTTAGTGAAGACTACAGTTCAAAGACCATCTATATAGTTCTGTATCAAATCAAAACTAATTCAGTTTACCAAACTACCGTCTGTCATTGTTACTAAAACACTCTTGTAGAGAATAAACACAGTTTCATAGGAAACAACTTAATAATTTATTTTTAATACCCTTAAAATTTTCTATTCTTTTTAATTGGAAATGTATTTTTATTCCCATGTTCATTATGCTTTATTTACAGTGAGCAATGTTGCATAATTGGACATACAAATCTTACTTCCCTTTTGTGTTCTGCTGATTAATATCAGAATATTGAGTCTTATAGATCTTATTCTTTTTTATAAAGCACAAGATCTCAAATATATATTGTAGTTACAATCAAAATCAGTAAACAAATTTCTAAAAGGCACCCTGTTTTTAACTCCTTTAATAAGTCTTAGACCTTTTTTCTGTATTTTAAATACTGCATTACTGTCATTTACTCCCCCCCCCAAAAAAAAATATACCACCATATTTTAATATAGATTCAAATTTTGTGAAATAAACATTTCTTAATACAGGTATGCTTACTGAGTCGCATAAGGATTTAAACAAATAAAGAGCTTTGTTTAATTTTTGACAAAGGTATTGTATATGAGTGACCCAGCTTAATATTTCTTTGATATAAATACCTAAAAATCTTAAATTTGATAAATAAATTATTTATTTGTCCATTTAACCAGTTATTTGTTTTAAGGTGACAGCTTCTAATAGTAACTATATTGAATGAAAACATAATATGGTACTGTTATGATACATTTTTCATTACAGCCTGATGATTGTGCACTGAACAAATTCTTCATCTCATTCAACTTAATCTTATGTGTGATTGTGAGTATAATATCTGTCCTGCCCAGCGTACAAGAGATGCAGCCCCGTTCAGGCTTGTTGCAGTCATCTGTTGTGACTCTCTATGTTATGTATCTCACCTGGTCATCTGTTTCCAGTCAGCCGTGTAAGCAGAATTAATTTCCTTCATTTAGTGTAAATTGTAATGATTTCATACATCCATTAAGTACTGCTGGTATGCTGGGAAGTCATGTTTCTTAGTCTTATCCAGCTGTAAACATCTCATATGAATTCTTGGAACTTAGAGGGCCAGATTCAGAGTCTTACTGCAGAGCAGACCATACAGGTCTCATCATGTTTAACATGTCATGCACACATGAATGACCACTCTTGGCTATCTGGGTACCTGAACCCTGCAAACATGGAAATTCTGCAAGGTGTCAGTTACCTCACAATGTAGTCAAGACCATGTTAAGATTCCAAGAATAGCTACAGTTTTTATTTATATAGATAGCAAGTGCAGTTTCTTTTCTTGACTGCTTGGCAGCCTACAGCGTATTCACTCTCATAAGTATAATTAGAATGATCAAGTCAAGGAGGATGAGATGGGCAGGTCATGTAGCACGAATGGGGGAGATGAGGAATGCATATAGGATATTGGTGGGAAAGCCAGAAGGAAAGAGACCACAGGGAAGACCAAGGCATAGGTGGGTGGACAATATTAGAATGGATCTTAGAGAGATAGGATGGGATGGTATGGATTGGATAGATCTGGCTCAGGATAGGGACCAGTGTATGGCTCTTGTGAACATGGTGATGAACCTTCAGGTTCCATAAAATGCTGGGAAATTCTTGAGTAGTTGCAGAATTGGCGGCTCCTCTAGAATGGCTCAGCTCCATGAGTAAGTAAGTAAAGGTGAATGTAGGAAGGGCCACCTGCAGTGCAATTTAAAAGAGTCCCAGGAGCACCTCCCAAGGATTTTCCAAGGTAAATGGTATTTTACAGTTCACTGTTAGAGTACTAAGGAGTAACAAGGTATTTTGCTGATGTTAACAAAGGCTTGAATCCTGCAATAAGGGACAGTGTTTAGATCTGTACACCCACAAGTTAACATCCAGATTGAGACTAGATGCACTGTAATGAGTTTGATGTTGCCACATGTTAGTGACTAGATATAGGGTTTGGATTGGTAATTGAATTTATTGAACACTTAGAACTTGCAGCTACAACTAATTATAGTGCCATTTCTAATCTACATGCTTAACAAGTCAGTCAGTTTGCTGCAACTTCACTAGTTGTTGTGTGGCAGTGGATCCGAACAGTGTATTCTTCTATTCACATCATTGCGAGCTTTATACCATCTCACAGCTCTCTGATTCAACTGCACTATGGCCTCCTGGACATCACTGACTACCATTAACCATCCCTGGCTACTACTGTCTAATTCACCGGATGGCTGTCACTATGTAGCCTTGGCATGGACCACATTTGAAAATGCTGTATCATAGTTGTCGCCGCACATTTACCAGCTGTTGTGTAGCAACGGCTGTCTCTTGTTCTTATATTCCAGCTTTCGGCCATTATGTCACAATATGTTAATACAATCAGAAGGGGGAGCCTTTAAACTCAGGAGGGATTTCAGTCACACAGAGGTAAACATTTGGGTACCGTCATCCACAAAGCTGTGATACTTAACCAGGGTGCTAGATTGCTTGTTATCCCAATACATATACAGAAATGAATCGAATAGTGAAATGTATGACTGTAATGTTGTTTGATCAAGATGAGGTAGAATCTTGACTTCCTCTGTCTCCTGGTAGTCTGTATGAAAGTTCAGAATCCGTCACCATCCTAATCTCTACAGGACCTGATAAACAAGGTCCCATACCTGAACCAGAGCCAGCCAAATTCTGGTATTGATCCCCATATCTGAGAATTTAAGATTTGAAGCTTTTTGAGGTAAATAAATATGCTAAAAATATTCTCAAGCAATCAGTCATGTCAGTATTGGGTTAAAAACCAATGTTTCATACATTTCTTCACTCTCTATCATCAGGTTCAATGTGGTAAATGCCCATACCTTGCTGACACACCACATTGAGTCTGATGATGGAGATCTCTGAAACATCACTTTTTAGGATTTGACGTTCTCACAGTGATAGTTATGATGAGTCTGTCTTCTGAGATATAACATGATGTAGTCCACTGAAACACAGCGTTTTGGAGAAATACGTCACTTCCATCTTCAGTATAAAAAAAAAAGCCAAGCGAGAAACCAGGATGAATCAAACAGGAAGGTTTGTGTGGTGAATCAGAAATGTAGGGTCATTCACCACACTGACTCTGGTGATGAATATAGAAGAGATGAACATTGACATGATCAACCCAGAAGATTTTAGCTCTTCAGAGATACTAATCTGAGTTTTATTATAGAGGCTGAAGTCATATTTGTATGTGATGATGATTTTTTGCAGATAGACCATGCAATCCTGGCTTCCTGGGTGTTATTGGATTGAAGTCAGAGAGCACTTTTGACAGTGAGAGTATTGTGGGTCTTATCATCTGGATGTGTTGTGTTCTGTATTCTTCATTGCGTACAGCATCCAGTTCATCTAAAATCACCATGTCAGAACATGTTCTTGTCAAGGACAGTGGGGCTGGTATGTATTAAGTCTGTATTTCTACTCTTATTTTGTTGGTTTTAGTGTATAACTGTTTGATTTCCTTGTATGGACATTTTTAGTGACATTTGCTCATAATAAACTTGGTGGGGGCTTGCTGACTAGCATGCCTTAGAACTGTAACACCTCTATTTAATGCTGTGGTAAAATGTGACTGTTAATGGTTTAGTTTGTTCTTTTGTGCAAACGTCAGACAATTGTGGCATGTATGGGGCATGGAGGCAGTTCATCATGCATTCTAAACTTGGCACTAGATGGAGGTGGTCAGCTTCTTCTAGCCACATTACTTCTAGGGAAAGTATCCCTAGTTGCCAGTTAATGAGGTGCAGAATGGCCCTGCAGCTGGTCTGGATGTTAAAGCAAAGACCTGCCAGGGTGTTAAAGCTGGATGCTGGAATAGTTTGGTCACTAAGTAGCATATTTTGTTTGTTATTCACAATGTTTCCAGACAAGAGAAATTGTGTAAAAATGCACATTGCTAGAAAAGGTATTGAGACCTCAGAATTTATTTAAAATGTGATTTGACATGTCTTCACTCAAAGATTCATCTTCTTGAATGGTGGTTTGTTGAAGTGCATTGATTTCCTTTTTCTGTCTAATGATTCTGGTATTTGTTTTACTTTGAAGTTCTCATGTGCAGGTTTAGAATTTTTTAAGATTAAATCTAGAAAATAAATCATCATTGATTCAAACATGGATTTTTCAAGTCTCAAATAATCAAGATTGTTTATATAAGTGCCCTTGCTTTGCACAGTAACATCCATCCGAATTTAAGTGGTCGGCAATGCTAGTATGAATTAATTTGTGAGCAAAATATCTCTCTCGCTCTCTCCCTTCCCTTCCCACTCCACTTTCTTTCTATGATGAGAAAGGATATGGCCCTAGGATTGAATTGTGTTAAATGTGGTGATCAACAAAAACTTTCCATTGAAAAGGATGTATGAAAAGCAAAAAAGTAATACACTTCAGTGCACTGTGAAAAAGTGGCTAGTATTTTAGATTATGATAGCCATGAAAATATTGATCATGTAGAGAAAATTCTGGTTCTCTTCTTGATTCTCAGAATGTTCCCAGATTCTCTTCTCAGTCTTACCTGAAACTGAAAAATTCATTCTCACACAAGCCTGCTTTAAAATATGTTTGGCCTCAAATATATTGTGATAGAATCCTAGACTATTATTAGAGACTGCAGATATATGTAGCACATAGGTCATGTTGCATTTGAGGCTCTCACAGTAGTGGCTATGAAGAGTCATATCCCAGAAGATGGAACCCTTCAGAACATATATCAGATTGCTTCTATTATGGTATTTCCCAGCATTTTATGGAACCTGGAGGTTCATCACCATGTTCATAAGAGCCCTACACTGCTCCCTATCCTGCGCCAGATCTATCCGATCTATACCATCCCATCCTGTCTCTCTAAGATCCATTCTAATATTGTCCACCCACCTGCACCTTGGTCTTCCCTGTAGTCTCTTTCCTTCTGGCTTTCCCACCAATATCCTATATGCATTCCTCGTCTCCCCCATTCATGGTACATGACCTGTCCAGGTGATCCTCCTTGACTTGATCATTCTAATTATACTTGGAGAAGAGTAAAAGTTGTGAAGCTCCTCACTATGCAGTTTTCTCCAACCTCCTGGCACAATTATGGTATACAAAAGAAAATACAATTATTTATTGAAATGTAAGCAATTCAAGATGTCTATAGGGCGAGTGAGAGAATTTAGGGAATTTGATTCTTGTGATGGTTACAGCATCCAGTATTCCTGTATTTTGTTTCTGTGAAAATCCTCTTTGATACAGACATAAGGATATGCTCATTTCAGCTATAAAAGCTGTAGGTACATGCTGCCTTATAAATGAATTGAGGAGCACATATTGAAGCATTGATTTAGTATAAAGTAATACCAACTCGACTCGTAGTTACCTAGAACTCACATGTAGCTTTCACATGACTGGTATGGAGAAAGTTTTTTTTTTGCATCAAGCAGATACCTTCATGAGCAGTAACATAAACTAAAATTAGAGAATGCCATCATCTTGAATTATAGATAACTGCTCCCTTTTGAGCACAGACAGATTGTGCTAAATTCATCAGCTGCCCAAGAGAATTCAGAATTCTTTCTTTTTACACTCTTGAACTAGAATTCTAGCTTAAAAGAATACTTTTTCTTTATTTATATGTGAAGACATTCTGGGGAACAGTTTTCAAATCACAGTACTACAGTATTAGTGATGGTTTGTTACTATGTTCCATTTCTTTTTTGTGAGTAAGGCTATGACTGCTGCCTACATCAAAGTCATCTTGCTTTTGTAGCAAAATATACAGCTATTAAAAAATTATATATCTTATGTGCAGTCAATAGTAACTCTTAGTGGAAAATAAGCTGTAACTTTTCTTCATAAGCCTTTTTATTGCTTAAATTTAATTTCTGTCAGCATTCTTATTATTTTTTGTCACTTTCAGAAACTACATAATATGTGAGAGCTTGTAGCCTGCTGTTTCTTATCCTTTCATCTTTCTGTCTCATCTAACCATCACTTTTTGTTTCTTCCTCCAGTTCGTGGCCAGGGAAATCTCTCGTTGGTTAATAATGAAGGTATGAATCGTTATCTTTCAAACATCGCATACTCTGCTTACCTGTTTATGATTTGTTTTCATGGCTTTATTTATTATTAGTCATTGCTGTTCTCAAAATGCTTTGTTTTTTATAGTCCATTATTACTGAGGAAATTGTAGTACATTCTCATGCTGTTCAAAGTTCATGATCTGGAAGCAAGCCACAGAACAATTGGCTTTTGACCTGATCATTGGTCCATCAAATGGTGTGGCATAGCCTATATTTCCTAGCAAAACCAGTTTAAGAACATGGATTGAAATAGATATTATCTGTGTTTCTCATCTATTTCTGTGTCCCTGGTCTTTCATCACATAGATCAGATGATCATATTTTTCATTTGTTCTTCCAAATGATGAGTAGTGTTGAACACAGCCCATATACTGTTTTCCTGTTTCACTATTTGATAAGCTGCTGGCTTTGCATAGGCATATTACTTCCAGCTTTGTATTCATTTCTAAGCATTTCTGTCTTATTGCCATAATTAACATTTCAGCTTCTTTTAACTTAATTATAAGACTACAAAATAAAAAAAACTCAACTCTCTTCCATTAGCCATGTGACGCAGCACACAGTGAAACAAGCTTGGAGGTTTGTTGACCTTGAAGTCAACAGGTTGTGCTAAAAATAGTCCTAAAACATCTCCTGCAACTATGAGTTTTTGAGGAGTTGGTCAGTTTTACTTTTGCATATTAGGTGGGCTGTGCATATGTGCACTTAAGTACTTTTGCCTTGAGGTCAAGTCAGTTTGCTGCTCAGATATGTAGTACTCAGATTCTGGAATAAGGACTGTCTTCTCCTATGCAAGGGAGAGGCCCTGAGGGTGGGTTAACAGCACTTGTCTGGATTGCCTGTCATGCACAGCTTGAGAAATAGAACTGTGAATACAGTCAGTGCAAAAATATGGAAGAGAGTTTTAACTAGTAATGAATAAAGCCTTTGTTTTATGTAAGATTCTCCATACATATAACATTTAAGAAATTGATGGTGCTGAAGAGTGTTGTTGCTATAATGAAGATCTCATTATAAGCCATACTTGGTTTTATTATATTTGCACTTCATGGGCTTTGTCACATTATGACTGTTTCCTTCACCTCTTGCGGTGAAATACTTGCTTTGTGGTTACTTCTGTTTCCTTGATGTGATGCCATGTGCACACAGAGAGAGGGAGAGAGAGAGAGAGAGAGAGAGAGAAAGTTGTGCTATCAGAAATAAATACAGTTGGAAATACAACACAACATAAGGCTATGATACAATATTTATAATTATATATTTAATTTTTGTTTCATAGTTTGCTAGAGTTGGGTCCTTGTTATAGGCTGCATGTTTTGACTTCATTGTGTTGGCATAGCCATCTGACATTGATATGTCTTTTGTGCAGTATGTAGAAAGATTTCTTGGGCTTGTGAGAGATGTGTTTCTTCCCAACAAATTTATCTCTTTCTGTGTAGGATTTGAGGTTTTCACATTGGTGGTTATGAAGAGTTCTGTCTTCTTACCCTTTTCTGCTTATTAGAAAATCACTTAGGAGCTTTGTGATTTACACAGGTCATCTTGTATGGCTAGGATATTGATTCCCAGACGGCTATAAGAGAGTGAGCATGCAACTGATATGAGGGTGACAGGAAATGCATACAGAATTCGTTTTTTTTTTTTTTTTTTTTTTTTTTTTTTTTTTTTTTTTTTTTTTTTTATATCTNGGGCAGATAACAGTAAGATTATCTTTGGAAAATGGATTGTGAGAATGGTAGGTGGGTGGATGTAACTGGTTCAGAATCTCTGGTATGTGGTGGTCTTAGCATTAACAATATTGAACCTTCAGATTCTGCTATCATGAAGGGTAGTTGTATCATAATTGTTTGTGACTTTGTATTTCCTTTGCTTCATTCATTCATAACAATTTATATTTATCAGTTTCACTCATAAGATTAATTATTTAACTCTTACAATATAAGAAATGTTAAATGGTGTTAAATTTGATCAGGTGGTGATGGAGGAGAAAGTGGACACACAGATGGTACAAAGGTGTGGGACAATGAAGAGGAGGCAGTTGCATATTCTTGGTCCTTCTTCCATGTCATGTTTGGTCTAGCTACTCTTTATGTCATGATGACTCTGACCAATTGGTACTCGTAAGTATCTCATAAATATACTCTTTTCTAATTGTAAACACTTTCCTACAGGTAGTTTTCATATATTGAGAAGTGGGGTTTTCAGAGTCAGACTTGTCTTCCTGCCCTGAAATATAAGGAAGAATATAATTTTTTATAACACTTTATTTGGAAAGAAATAATTGGTGATGAAATGACCACAGTTTATGCCAGTAGCATTGTTGATTTGTGAATCTGCATATTAAAATAATTTATTTGATCCTCACAACAGGATATAAGATAAGGAAAGGAGGAATTTATTAATGCAATCCTGGATACACTGCTGGTTACAGACATACCTCCTCATAAAATACTGAAATGTAATCAGTGATAACAACATAGCAATTTTCTTTATCACATTTTATTACATTTTTGGTAGCCTTCATCTTGTTACAGATATGTGGCTAAACTCAGTATAGAAAATGTGAGGTCTTTGGTATATAAGGTTTTCAACCCTTTTGAAAGAAATAAGGTTTATTTGTATTTTACATTCTATATGTACTACATATGAGAAAGTACTGTAATCATGAAAAAAATCAACCTCAGGATTTTGGCATACCCCCCCCCCCCCCNAAAACTGAATTTTGGTGTGCTGCTTTTGTGTGTACATGTATGGATGTGCACCTTGCTAGGCACCTGAAACTTTTGACAGATTATATTCATATTCAGCATTCAAGAGAGTATCCATCCTAGTTGGTTCCCAGTGAATCTGAATGTTCTAGCTCCAAAAGTAAGGGTCCTTCAGATAGGCCTCAAAACAAAATGATTTTCCCAAAAACAGCACTCACAGTTGTCTTTAGATTTCAGTAATTTATGGAGATTATATCTCCAAATAAAACTGCATTGGTGGAATCTTCAGGAAGATAATGCTATGCATAGTAGGGGCCTAAATGTGAAATATTTTCTCAATACCAGCATTTATGGCCAAATGGATTTCATTGTTGTCAGTACTCATCAACCAGCAGTGATCTACTGTGCAACAGTCAGTTTTTGTTTTCAAGGTAATAGAGTCATGGTCAGTCATATACGAGAAAGTATATTCAGTGCCTTTGCTCCTTATTTTTTAGCCTACTTTCCTTATTTTGAAAAAATAAGAGGTGGCTTGTGAGATCAGCTTGTTTAAATGTGCAGATTTGTTGTAGGTGAGCATTACATCAGAATCATGGTCTTCATGACACATTTAAAATCTGTAGGAATTTCTCAAACTGTTCCCAGTGGATTCCAACATTTCTTCCTATATGCCATTTCAATATTGTTTTCTTTATTTCATAACCAGAAAATTAAAAGTGTATATTTGTAAGATAATTACTGTCTGTGATTTTAGACCAGCCAGTGGATTTGATTAAGTCCACTGAGAACAGGATTGTAGGGTGTCTGTGGGTTATAATAGGTCCTTTGTTACAGTGCATTACCCTCACTGCCATGCTACTTCCCATNCCAAACCGGGAATTCAACTGAACAGCTAGTATTGTGCACATATTTAAAATATTAAGATTTTTTATATGTATATATATATATTATTCCGGTGCAAATATGTGATGTTATACACAGTGCTTTAAATGGTTTCAGTTATGCATAGATAACCAGAGAACAACTATTGAAATTTTAGCCATTTATAGGATATATCTTGCTTACAGATCTATGTTAGTAATTCTGGTTCTTTTTGCTTTAATTTGAGCAAGGAGGTAAATAAAGATAAAAAATAAAAGTATTTCAAATGTCAGAAATTTAGAGGTGTTAACAGTGGATATTGATGTTATTGTATGTTTATCTCTTGCATAAGCATGAAGCTTTTGCAGGTATTTGCTATTATTAATTAGACAAAATATCTGCAATTAATTAATTTATCATTTGTTTATGTGGGTTGCTTGTCCTTCAGATATAAATAATGATGTAGATAATAGGAATGAATAAAAGTTGATCTCATTGAGAAGTGTTAGGGACAGTTTGCTATATTTCCCCAATTTAGACACTACTCGTAAATTAATTTGTATTTAAAGTAAATACTATATATTTAATAATGTAATAGAAAAATATACAATGGTTAAATACCATTTGAAATAATAATATAAGAAGGCATGCAATTATTTTGTGCATATACATAATGAGTCTGTTGTTACAGAAGTTTTCCCTTGACATAATGTAGCTTCTGTTATTCAACTATTACTGTATATGTGACTTCAGAATTTCTTTCTGTTGCTGAAGTCTAAAATTATCTTTTTCAGGACTGTTGTCATCCTGAGTCAGGGTTTAGCATACAGTGAAATCACCATTTTAGGTTTCTTTGGGGATCAGTGGATTTGAACACAAAAATGAGGAAGCTCTTAAATGCAGGAAATTTAACACTTAGATGGTTGACTTTGGTTTACTGATATTGAACATTAAATGAGGAAGAACCTTAAATGAAGAGATTGATTAGCATATGTGGTCTGTCCAAAAAGAAACCAAACTTTCTTTTTAAAACATTTATTGATAAGCTTACAACTTAATAAGACTTGTCTCCTTCAAAATAGTCCCCTCTACTGTCTATACACTGCTTCCAGTGTTTTTTCCAGTTCTGGAACGCCTTTTGTGGGATAGCGTGTAGGTCCCATAGTGAATTTTCTTCTAGCTCTTCTATCATCTGAAATCGGCGACCTTTCAGAGTGGATTTCAACTTTTGAAACAAAAAAGGCTGCAGAGGCCAAATCTGGAGAGTAGGGTGGTTGGGGGATGACAGTCGTCTCGCGTTTCGCCCAAAATTCACAGACGAGGAGCTACGTGTGAGCAGTTGCACTGTCGTGATGCAACATCCTGGTCTTATTTCTGCACCCCTCAGGCCTCTTCCTTCGCTCTGCCTCCCTCAAATGCTTCATGACCTCCAAGTAAAACTGTCCATTGACTGTCTGATCACATGGAACAAACTCATGATGAATGACGCCCTTCCCATCAAAAGGAAAAAAAAAAAAAAAGATCAACAGCACCTTCACATTTGACCAACTCTGGCATGCTTCTTTTGGTCACGGTGACGATTTTCTCACCCACTGTGATGATTGGGCTTTTGTTTCGGTATTGTACCCATACACCCACGTTTCATCACCTGTTATGACATTTTTCAGAAAGTTTTCATCAGCATTTGAATGATCAAACAGCTCCTGACCGACCGTGACACGGATCGCTCTTTGCTCATCTGTGAAAAGACGTAACACAAATTTTGCAGTAACGCGATGCATCTCCAATTTTTCAGTCAAAATTGTGTGGCTCAAACTTTTACTGATGCCTCTTTCTTCAGAAACTTCACTGAGTTAGGCAGCAATTTTCACGAATCACAGCATGCAGTTTCTCAACATGATCATCGTCCTTTGATGTGGAAGGCTGTCCAGGTTTGGGATCGTCTTCGGTGGATGTTCTGCCTGATTTGAAATGTCAGTACCATTCGTAATATTGTGTATGGCTTAAACAGTCCTCTCCATAAGCTTGCTTCAACATCTGAAAAGTCTCTGTACAAGATTTTGCCAATTTGAAACAGAATTTCACACAAACACATTGCTCTTCAAGGTCCTTCATGTTTCAATTTGCAAAAATCGCAAATGGCACAAGAGACAGGTTCACCCTACCGCATGTACTGGCTGACTAATTGATGTTGAGTGATCGGGCAGGTGTCAGGTTTAAGCTTAAGGTAACAGTGCCACTGTTGCAAGTCACCTGTGTTGGCTTGTTGGCACCCTATTTAACAAGTTCAGTGTCTTTTTGGACAGACCATGTATGGTGAAATCACCATTTTAGGTTTTTGGGGGGATCAGTGGATTTGAATTCTACAAGAAATTTCAGATACAGTAAATACAATATTATAGTTGAAATGTTCCAATTCAACTGTAGCTAGTTAGTTAGTTGGTTATTGGAGAGGGTGGGTTTTCCCCATGCACTGAGACCTGTATTGGTCCATTGTGCTGCCCTCTGTGATTTCTACCAGTCTCTATATCCTACCGGTACTGGTGCTTACCGTCAGTCCCGCCCAGCCAACGAGACCGGCTCTACTAGGTGAGAGGTATCTATAATGCTTCCCCCATCTACCAGAGGTATTAGAGACTGCTGTTGGGCGGGAAACGTCCGGTAATTTGGCTCAGTGACCTCCTTTGGAGATATGAGGTTCTTTTACGTGCCGTAAAGCTACGACGTGGAACCCACGGCTTAAAAGTCCCTCCCGGTGGACTTGTTCCCTGAATTTTTCTGCCCTTAAAAATTCGACGACCTCCGCCAGGTATTTGAACCCGCTTACTACGAGTCATGAGGTGGGAACGTTACCTCTAGACTACGGAGGCCGCTAATTCAACTGTAAGAACCCAACAGAACCAGAATAAAGTTGTACATTTTCTCAAATGAACTGGATGATATGTAACAGTGTGTGTTTAAGCAACAGCTGATGTGTGGACCTGTATGAGAAGTTAGTGAGCAACAGTGAACTTTGTAAGGTAAGGTAAAGCTATCCCTGTAACAGGCCCTGGAGGCCCACAGGGTTGTGAGACGCTGAAGCTCCCGCATTTTCTAGATAGTTGGCTCATGGATGGTGGTCAGGTTGTGTGACTTACGCACCAGCTGCCCTTTACCCCCCAGGAAGATTCCTGGTACTCACTTCTGTTATAGGTTACATTGTCCCCAGGGCCATAATGTGGCTGGGAGGATTAAGTCAGGGAATTGAACCTGTGACTTTCCGGCTTGTAGCACAGTGCCCCTAAATGAATGCATATAGCATGTGGTGTTCCCAAGCAGTCACCCGGCCAAGTACTAACCATGCCTACTCTTGCTTAACTTTGGTGATGGTATGAGAACCGGTGTTTTGAACATAGTATGGCCAGAGCTTTGTACTTGATATTTACGAATTCCAGTTAATGTAAGGGTTGTGTAAAATGAATTTTAGCTTCATAGTATTTTGTGATGATTGATATAAAACTGTATGACTCATCGGCTTTGTAAATTGTTGGTTGGTTCAAGATGATTTAAATCTTTATATAGTAATAAGAAACATAAAGTTTAATGAAGAAGAATCAGCTTTTGCCCTGCACATATTAGGCAAAGGTCACCAATACGGGCCTATGGAACCGATCATGGAAATGATCGAAAATGCTATGTCTTCAATATAAAGGAAAATTACTATATTTTATCAGTTTAAACAGCTTAATGAAATACTACAACAAAAGAGCATAAAACAAAATGATAACCAGAATAGTATGCTTGACACTGTGATAAGACACGAGTACATGCCCAGAAAAGCGCCACAGGGAACAAGGGTATGAATATGCAATACAGCACAAAACAAAAGAGTACCTCAAAACAGCAAAAGGCAAACACCTAGACATCACGATATAGGTATGAATGCACAAGATAAATTTTGAATAAATTTGGGGTTACAGAAATACAATGAAATATAATACGTTGTGCGTTCAAGTTCTAAGGTCTCTGATTTTTTTTGTCACACAATAATCATACAAAAAAATTTGAATCTTCTGTCACTTTTCAACGTAATCTTCCTGCAACCGTACACATTTTTCACAACGTCTACGCCATGATTCCATGGCCGCTGTGAATGCTTCTGTAGGAGTCTGTTTTGACCACTGGAAAATTGCTGATGCAATAGCAGATTGAAAAACGGCATCCATTGTCACAGTTGATGAAAAGAAACATTCATGCCTTCATCACGTGTCAACATCGCCTGGCAAATTGCCATACGTGCAGCCTTGTGGTCATCCGCCAGAATACGTGGCACCCACCTGGAGGACACTGTCCGCATTCGCAGGTCTTCATGCAGGATTTTGTGCACAGATCCCACGGAAATGCCAACTTTGGAGGCGATGTTTTCCACACTCTGCTGCCCTGAATGATTGGACATCAAGTACACTTGAGTGCAATCTCCCATCTACCAAAATATTGTCTATCTGATTTTGCATCTTCTCATCAGGAGATACCGAAGTAAATTTATGGATGTTCTGATGTGGGAACACTGCACCTTTGACAGTAAGATTTTTGATGTGGCAAAGTTTACTACTCTAACTCCATTATCATTACTAATTTCATGCAAACTCTCATTCCCAAACGGTTTGAAAATGCTTTCCCTCCCTACTTTGGCATTGAAATCTAACAAAATTTTCATAGGGTACTTCGGGAATTTATCAAATACATGTTCTAGTTCTTCATAGAATCTATCCTTTATGTCATCAATTTTATCTTTTGTTGGGTCGTGAACATTCATAACAATGATATCACACTAGTGACCTTTTAGTATTACATAGGATATCCTATCACTAATGAACTCTACCCTCTTAACTGCTGATATGATTCTCTTATGTACAAAAAAACCTGTACCTAATTTATGATTTTCATTCCCCTTTCCACAGAAAAATGTATAGTCACCTGCTGGTGCAATGCCACCTCCATGCCATCTGACCTGTACTCCTGCTATATCTAACTTATATTTTAAGATTTCTTCTGTCACTGCCCTCTGCAAACTTCGAACATTCCAAGTGCCAAATCTCATATCCATTTTCTTTAGCTTAGGTTGTTTATCCAAGGAATCCGTCCAGGTCTGAGGCTTTGTGTTCATTTTCGTAACATACTTATTTCTTACGATGAGGAGTTGTTAGCCCCACGCCCAACCCCGAAGCTGGAGGACCACCCCTTGTCGGCTGTCCACGACGGCTTATTCAGTATTTACAGCTTCCCTCTGCAACCTAAGGACGAGCCATGCCGTGGTGACAAGGAATCCACCTAACTGGCAGTTATTTAACAATACATATAAATGTACATGACCTTGATACTGACCTGTCCACAACTATCTCATTTCATTTCATTTATTTCGTGTCCATGGATCATTATACATGATATAAGACTTAAAAAGACATCTAAAAACTTAAATACAAACAATATGCTATGTGAAATGATTGTGGTCACCAGAGTGGTGTAAGATTATAACAGCAGTAGTACTATAATACCTTTTTATGTTGCATTCGAATACAGACTTCTATCATCCTTCTTTTCTAAAAATGTATCCTCTAGTAGAATGCCTAGTATTTTCGGACTGGAGACTGGGATTACTTCCATCGACAACTATTGACTGGTCCCAAGTGAATGGGCGTTTTCTTTTGTCTGAGGGCAGAAACAGGGGCCAGTATCTCAAACGATGTTTAAAAAAGTCAATAAATGTATTCTCATACAGTCACGTACTTCCTGTTCCACGGATTTATGGTTCTCACAGCCGTGGTTATAAAGAGTTCTGTCTTCTAGGATATAACGCCGTGTAGTCCGTTCCATGCAAACTGACGTTTCGGAAGAACATTTCCCCTTCCATCTTTAGGGTCCAAGAATAAACCAAGCAAACCAAGCATGAAACCTACGAGTATAAGCAACACACATACTGAGAAATCCCTACTCGATTGTTCGATAGTGTACCACACTCGAATTATTCGATCGTATTTGAAATAAAACTTCTCGTGGCGGGTGACATTCGTGGGCTCTTGGGACCTCCATTTACATAACTCAACGTCAGAACATTGTTGCATTACGAAGTTTCTCACTGTCAAAAAGTCAATAAGTGAATAGTTTTCGTAGGGAATGAAGGCTCTGCTTCCTGCATGCTTTATGCTGGTATATAGCTTTACTTACTCGTCTACCCTAAAGATGGAGTTCCTTCGGAACGTTCGGAACCTCGGTTTACTTTCGACTCTGACCGAACTACACAACGTTATATCCCAAAATATGAAACTTCTGAATAGATTTCTTCGTCATTGCAATTATTTTGCTGTGATCGCCTTTGCATAACATTGCTGTATACACTTGGTCGACTTACGACCAACTTCCGTTCCGACTGACAGGTCGTAAATCGGCCATATATTTAGTAACAGTATTTTTTAACCTCTCTAATCTTTTTATCATCTTTATGAGTTATTTTTAAAAACTTTAACATTTTAATTATCTCTTATTTTTTATTTTTTTGTGGTTGTAAGTCTCATAGGTCGAAGGTTACCAAATGCATGAACGTTGCGATTTATCGAAAGGAATGCGTCCATTCTGAAGATCCCGAAGATGGAATGTATGTCGCTTTTGTGAATGAAAAATAATACGTTATGAAGTCAGGAGTCGTGTTTTTTCCTCAACTGAACAATGCGTTTATGGGAATAAACAACATCTTAGCTCATCCAATTTCCCGTAGCCGAAAGTGTGAATAAAATATGGACTATATATGCATTAAAGACGTTTTTCATTCATACTGATTATTACTGATGGGTACTATTTTCCGGGGCCTCACCCCACGTGTTCCGTGTAATGCGGTAGAAGAAGGTAAGAAGGAAGCTTAGCTTTCGTTTTCTTTGTGTGGTATATTTGGCGTTAATGATTGGAGGCGGTATGTTCCACCAAAATGTACATGAACTGGAACTACACGATGTCATCAAAAGTTGCTCCTCGTAAGAACGTGGGAATCTTGCAACCAGTATATTGATGTTACAGAGCTACGTAGCCGGAAGGTTGTCATATCCGTTATATATGCTCGTATACGGAAGTTCGCGGTTTGAATGTGAGACCGGAAAGTCGGCATACTGAGATTTTTCATGTGTTTTCGCAGGTACACCAGGCCGGCAGACTTAGATGACTCCACTATCGCACCTTTCCAAATGCTTTCCAGTTCATATTGTTCAGTGACATCATTCATCAGACAGTGTTATTAAATAAACCATAAATAAATATATGTAAGTTTCCTCATATGTTAATAAAATCCTGCTATGAGGAAATATGGAATAGATATGTATATCTCTGAATATTCAGTATCTTGATGCGAAATGGACACTGTTGTGTTCTTCAGTGTTCTTTAGAGTACGTGAAAATGGAGAGAGTCCAAAAACCCATTGATCCCAATTTTCATACACCATCATCAGAACCCTTCATGATCTACTTGAACCCTTTGCAGTCTACTTAATATTTTGTTTGTATTTACGAAGTTAATAATAGAAAGTTGGGTTGCTTTCAGTGACCAGTATATCATGAACCTGAAAGTTTGGTCTGAGGCTTCATTAAATGGTATCACCAAAAACTTGCGTCCGCATCATAGTAGTGTCAGTGGGAAGCAGAGGAAATTAAATAAAAGATCCTGGGATTCAGACATACCTTTTCCCAGTAAGTATTATTTTTTAAACATTTGAAATGTTACATCAATTTGGAGAGGTTTGAATTTAAATATTCTTTTAAGGAGCTTTTAAGAGATGAATGAGAGTTGATTTATATTAGAAAAGTTCTGGCACATTTCTGTGATGCTGAAGCAATTAGGGTAATGTCTCAAGTAGGATTTTAGCCTGGCTCTTTGTTGGCCATTGTCTCATTTGCCAATTTATGGTGTTCCTGTTGGGCCTTAGCTAATAGCTCACACATGACCAGTACCTATTGTACAGCACTCCAGCAGGCAGTACAACCAGTCCTAACCTATGTAGCAGAAGCCAGATCAGATACTTCCAGAACAAAGCAAATTCTGAAGGTTGCAGAAGTAAATGCCTTGAGAGAAACTGGGAAAGATAGGGGTTGATCATGTAAGAAAGCAGGCTGTTAGAGAATGGCATGAAATTCAATCAGTAGGATGCTGAATGAATGAATGTAAGAAGGAACTGAGAAAACACATTTGAAGAATGACAAAAGATAGACTTGTTCAGATCATTAGAGATGACTCCCCAATAGGGGAAAGAAGCCCAAGAACTCATAAGTATTGAAATGTGTTGTGTCAGGGAACAGGTAGATTGTTCATGCTGGGCATGTCAGTTGTGTAATGTATCTGCATCTTCTTTCACCTTTATCTGCTTTATAATTTATGTTTATTTTTATGTGTTAGTAACTAGTCTCAGGGTTTCCGTTGGTAATTGGATTTATTGAACGCTTATTACTATGAGTATCTATAACAGCCTCATTGGTTTACTAACTCCAAAGATCACTGTAACTGCAGCACACATAAAGTTTTATATGACTTCACTAGTTGTTTGCTTGGTAATGGCCCCAGACAGTGAATATTCTTCTGCTTCCATGCTCATGTCCTAACTGGCTGGCAACCATCTCACAGCTGAACTAACTTTCCTTTTTCATACTTAACTGTATAGGCTAGGCATGGATTGCATAGAAAACATGCATCCAGCAGTTCCTCTGTTGCATACCATGCCATTACCTGGCAGTGGTTGCTTTTATTTGTTGCACTATTCCAGCTTTCAGCTGTCATGTCATGGTATTTACAAATATAGCAACAGGAAATTATGTTAATAATAGTATAGGAACTACGGATGTTTATTGGAGAATAATGTAATTACATCAAACTGTCGTGAGAGCAAAGGTGCACAAATAACTCCGCCATATTTTAAAATTAGATCTAGAGACTGATGGTTTACCACCAAATGGAAAGTGTGGAACAAATTCTTTTTCTTTCTTTTTTTTTTTTTCTTTTGTATCCCATGTAGCTATTCATTGCTGGTTATCGACAGAGCTAATTAGTAGTTCATACTGTCATATGTATAGTGACTATAGACAGCATTTGGATAGGTGAATGAATTTATTGACCACTTATACACACAATTTGGAACTGCAAGCAATTCCAGTGCTATCGCTTATCTGCACACTTTACAAATCACTACAGCACAAGCTAAGCCTCAGTATTTTAGTCCTCCCTAGTCATTGTTTGGTAACAGCTCTCAGCAGTGGAGATTTTTATTTCTTCAGCTTCTGTGCTCAAGTCAAAGTCACATTGTGACTGACAATCAGTCACTCAGTAAATCTTGGTGTTGAGCCCCGACATCTATTACTGTTTGACAGTTAGGGTCTTCTTTGTGGGGTGCCCTCTCTGGTGAGAGGATGGGTCTGTCTTTTGCATATGCTGCTGGTCATTGCTAGCACTGTCTTTCTCGGGTCTGAGTCCCTTGGGACTTGCGACCATATTTTACTGTCTCAGATTTGATACTTCCCTTTTTGTCTCCTCCAATGACTTGCAGGGTCACGGTGGAGTTATTCAACCCCACCTCCACACGGGAGTTCTGTGCTCATGCCATTGCCTGCTGATTGAATACTACTCACAACTGATAGTATGATGAATTAATATAGAGCAGTTAGTGGAATGGTAATTGACAGAGGAAACCGAAGTACTCAGAAAAACCCTACTCCCGTGATACATGTTTTACAGACCAGTAATGGTATGGGCCCTTCTATGAATCTATATTGGAGAGTGGAGGTATAGCTTCACCATTTTTGACCTTGGCACTAGGTGGAGGTGAGTGGTCAGCTTCACGCCCCTACTGCTTTACACCCAGAGAAAGAGCCCCAGTACCCATTGGCTGGGAGGCTGTTTGGGCCCCATGGTGGGTATAGGTTTTGTGGAAAAGAGATAACTTCTGTCCCTGCCAGGAATTGAACCCTGGCCATCAAGCCCATAGCCTGTTGCTGTACCGACTGAGCTATCAGTTACAGACAAATAGACAGCAAACTTAAAGTAGCCTAACAGTTTTCAGTGAGTGCATCCTGTTGTGTATTATATATTTCTTTATTGAAAGTCATCACAACATAACAATAATATGTGTTTGTAGTTTCAAGTAGTACTTTACTACAAGTTACAGCTTTCAGGAAGCCATCATCAGGTAAATACATTTAAGAAACTTCTTTAGCTATTGAATTGCATGCTAATTACATGATGTAGTACAAGGTGGTTCAGATATGACCGGGACTGATTTTTTTTAAACCATAATTGCCAAATATTTACTTGCACATGTCAGTCTTCAATGTACTCCCCTCTGGAGTGCACACATTTTTTCCAATGTTCTGGAAGCATCATAATGCCCTTTTCAAAAAAGGCTTGTGGTTGGCAGAGTAACCACTTGTTGTCCACAAACTGCATGCCTTGCAAGTCTGATTTGAGACTTCCGAACAGGTAGAAATCACTTGGAGCCAAATCGGGACTGTACGGCGGATGTGTCAGAAGGTTTCATTTCAATTTCCGGAGGGTTTCCATTATTTTGGCCATATGGGGGCGTGCATTGTCTTGAAGGAAGGCTACCCGCTTTCCACCTGTCTTCCTCTTGGACTGGAACTTTTCCTACACGTCTGTTGCCAGGAGGTCTGAGTAATAAGCTGCATTGAGTGTTCGGGCATCTGTCAGAAAGTCTACATGGATAACCCCCTGCCAGTCCCAGAAGAACGTTGCCATCACTTTTCCTGCCGAACGGCTCCTCTGCACTCTCTTGGGTTTGGGAGAACTGGTATGCTGCCACTCACATGATGACTGCTGGGACTCAGGAATGAAATAGTGCACCCACGTTTCATCGGTGGTCACTATAGACTTAAAAAATGCATCACCATTGTCTTCAAACTGCTGTAGGAAATGACTGGCAGCTTGCATGGGCACCATTTTGTTCATGTCCGTCAAAGTGTGTTTTACCCACCGTGCATTCACCTTGCGATACTGCAGGTAGTATTTCACGATGTCTTCTACACTACCAACACTGATGGACAGCATTGTTCCAGTGTCCTTGATAGTGATGCACCTATTCTCAAGAATAAGCAGGTCTGCATGATCAGTGTTTGGCTCAGTGATGGATGTTTGCGGCCGATGATTATATGGTTCATTCTCCTCGCTCTCTCTGCCCTCTCTGAAGCACTTACACCACTCAAACACACGAGTCCATGAGAGAGACACTTCCCCATACTGTTGCTGGAGTCTGTTATGAATTTCAGCGAGGAATTTGATCACAATACGTTGTTCTACGCTCCGCGGTACCTTCTGTTTGCTCATCACTCTAGCAACTCCCAGACAGGACTGAACAGGTTCTAACCCAAACAGGAGGGAGGGTGGAGGTTGTGACTTCACTCTCTCAAGGTCGCACAGCTGCTGCGCATTGCGGCTTGTTTACACACAAATCAGTCTCGGTCATATTTGAACCACCATTTATTAGATTTTTCAAATAGTATACAATAATATAAAATATAAAATTACATTGAAAGTAAAAGTCTTAAAATGGACTAGTTACATAATTAAAATACAGTTAAGAGTTGTACATATAATTATATTTCAAAGTAGGTAGTTCTAATCATAATAATATATGGTGTTGCTTATGCGGACATGTTGTATACACAGACGGTTGTTATGGTGCTCGGAGGCCCATTGCTATATTGTACGTTATTATTTAATTTTGATTTCTATTATCTGATGGGTGCCTCCATTTATGTGTAAATGTCTGATCTGGCGAGGAGATAGATTACAACTCTAATTAGCATGCAGTTCAATAGCTAAAGAAGCTTTTAAGTGTATTTACCTGATGGCTTCTTGAAAGCCGTTACATGTGGTAAAGTACTACACTGGAACCTCGCTTAACGAGCACCTCTCATAACGAGCAAAACAAATTGTAAAGAAAATGACTCGCTTAACAAGTGACGAGAGGGGAAGTCCCGGATTGTGCGCTTGCTATATCAGTCTGTGTTTAGCACTCGTCCCACTAGCATCTTAGTGTCGCTTGTGATCACACATTTTTCCAAACTTGTGTTCAGACATATTATTTGTGATTTTTTGTGCAAAGTTTAATAACCCTTGCAAAAATGTCACCGAAGAAAAAGCCGCAAAAAGACAGCCACAAGAGAATAAAAATAACCGTAGAAATGAAACATAAAATCATTGAAAAGCGAGAACGAGATGTGAGTGTGGCTGATCTAGCTGTACACTAAAGCACTCTTCGAGTGTTGTTTTGAGGGGACTGAAGGGAACAATGTCACTTGCAGAGAGTTTTGGAAATATCACTTCCACATCGTTGCCTGCCTCAGGATGATCGAAAAGGCATGGGAAGGGGTTACCAAGAGAACCCTCACTTCTGCTTGGAAGAAGCTTTGGCCGGAGAACGTTGTCGAATATGATTTTGAGGGGTTTGAGGTAATACCTGTGGAGCCTGTAGTTAACGAGATTGTGTCTTTGGCCAAGATCATGGAGCTGGAAGTGGATAACAATGATATTGATGAGCTTGTGGAAGAGCATGGCCAAGAGCTGACCACTGAAGAACTTATGGTGTTGCATTGTGTTTCACAGCAATAAGTTGTGGAGGAGAGTTTGTCAGAGGAGGAGGAGCAGGTAACAGCAAAGCAACAATCTTCTGGCACAATAAGAGAAATGCTGAAAGCATGGGAAACTGTTGCATTGTATATTGAGAAGCATCACCCTAATAAGGCAGTGGCTATGCGCACTACAAATTTATTTAATGATAATGCTGTGTCGCATTTTCACAAAATTTTTAAGTGTCGGCAAAAACAAATGTCTCTAGACAGCTTTCTAGTAAAAAAGAATAGATNCTGAGCCCTTCTGGAGGAGCTGCCAACTTTGCAGCTACTCAACAATTTCCTAGAATTTTATGGAACCTGAAGGTTCATTACTGTATTCACAAGAGCCCTGCACTGGTCCCTATCCTGAGCCAGATCAGTCAAAACCATACCATCCCACCCTGTGTCTCTAAGATCCATTCTAATATTGTACACCCACCTACGCCTTGGTCTTCCCTGTAGTCTCTTTCCTTCTAGCTTTCCCACCAGTATCCTATATGCATTCCTCTTTGCCCCATTCGTGCTACATGACCTACCCACCTCATCCTCCTTGACTTGATCATTCTAATTATACTTGGAGAAGAATACAAGTTATGAAGCTCCTCATTATGCAGTTTTTTCCAACCTCCTGTCACTTCGTCTCTCTTTGGTCCAAATATTCTCCTCAACACCCTGTTCTGGAACACCCTCAGTCTATGTTCCTCCCTTAATGTCAGAGACATATATTATTAATTGTTGTGTTGTGATGGCTTTCAGTAAAGAAATATAGCCTAACAGTGTTTGCTGAAGACTTCCCAATATAATTGAGTCTGTGAATAATGAAATGCAGTTACCATCAAGTCCAGTTTTAAAATTGACTTTGAATAATATGCTTAGTAATTTGGATTTGAACATGGTAACAGAAAGGGTAGTTAAGAGCTCTGGGTTATGCAATTATTTCATGTACTTCAGGTGAAGAATACCTAAAAATTGAGCTTGAAATTCAGTTACTGTAACTGATTATGCCAATACTAAAACATTTTGTTGTTAATCCTGATGTATGATGACTCCAGTTGTACATTTTGTTAGGTACAAGAGTCTCTTTCAACATAAATGAGGAGATAATTCCATTATTATTAATGTGCGGTTAACTGAGTATAATCCAAATATTAAACTGTTTCTTATAATGAACAGTTTATTTTATTTATATACAAATAATAGGTATCTGATTAATAGTGAAATTGAATGTGTTTTCATTGCTTTAAGTGTGTGTTATTTTGTGTCATATTGTGATGTGAGTGACTTCATCATGCCATATCAGCTGGTAAAAGGTACCATTTTCTTCCCTCTGAAAAAAAAAATAAAATTGTCCCTGTGCTTAATTAGATAAGCAGTATGTTACGTAAACATATGGAGGTATAGCTCCACCTTTGTTGACCTCTGCACTAGATGGAGGTGAGTGATCAGCTTCACACCCCTGCCACTTTACCCCCTGGGGAAGGAGCCCCTGTTACCCATTGGATAGGAGGCTGGGTGGACCCCAGAGTTGGTCTGGACATTGTGGAGAAGAGAAAATTCTTGCACTGCCATGAATTGAACCTGCGCCATCCACCCTGTAGCCTGTCTCTATACCTATCCTGACTTCTTCTCAGAAGCCTTGTAGAATTATATTTTGTTATTCATGTGGTTGCACCTAACTGTTCATTCTTTCTGCCATTATGTGAAATTGGCTTCAACCAACTTCACTTCCTTCAAACAGTAACTGAAAGGCAGGAATGATATAATGTGTTGCCAGTGGTGATTCTCAAACATTTGCTGTGGCTGCATTCAAGAATAAGGGAATTTTCTGTGGTCACCTGCTGTTCTGAATAGCATTCCCTATTAAGCTAACTGTTTTATGTAAGACAGTCGAACTGTGTACAGATTTCATATAGTAGTCATAACTGAGAACCAACTTATAAGGAAAGCTTGCCTTAATTTAATAAATTAACTTTGTCCACAGGAGTGCCTACATCTTTATCAGTCATACTTGTTGGTACTGCAGCAGTTGTATGCTATATAAATTCTCTGGATGGAGGATTTGTTTTTGATGACTCAGAGGCCATTATAAATAATGAAGATTTGAAACCTGAAACACCCATCTCAAATCTTTTGTATAATGACTTCTGGGGTACACGTCTTACCCACAATGCAAGCCACAAGTCATATCGTCCTCTTACTGTTCTGTCTTTTAGGTGAGTACTGGAAAGTCATCCCAGAATCTCCTGAAAATCCTTTAGCCACTTGGGGTGTAGAGAGAGAGAGAGAGAGACTCCATTTATGTCACCTCACACTCTGCGTGTCTGGACTTGTAATATAGTCACCAGACCAACAAATCACAAACAGCACATCTAGATCAAAGCAGATGCTGCAAATGGTTTATGTTGTTATGCAGCCATTACTTGCACTTCCATGAGATGTTTATGTTTCCATGTTGAAGTTCCTTCTTGGAAACAGAACAGAGTCGAAACATGAAACCTGAAACATTAAATGGTAGCCTGTTTTCTCTGAAAGATCTCTAAGTGATTTTTATGAAGAATGTTCGTCTGGCACTGATTTCATTCAAATTCTTTCCAGTGAGTACCCATCATTTGAGTCAGTACTCCTTTTTGGGTCCAATAACAACCCTCTCTGGCTAAATTTGTTTATGACTGTGTAAATAATCGTTTATTTGGAACTGTAATATCATGCAGGTTGTGTCAGAATCTTTTCCTTTCAAATGGGTAACATTAATATTTTGTTATGTAAATCTTCATGTGACATTTTTACACAAGAAGTTTTGAGCCTGAGGTGATTGTTTAACACTGTAGAAGTAGCTTTGGATTATAGTCACTGGACCTATATGCTCATTTTACAATAGCTGTTCAAATATTGATTGGGGTGATACTGGAGAGAAATTGTAATATATATATATATAGGTTGTTCCTGTCAACCAAACCACAGGTGTGAACACACAGTGTGAGGGGATGTAAATGTCCTATGTCCCTCCAGCCCAACCTACTAGAGGATTTTGATAGGCTGTCAGATGATGTCCATATACAGGCTACAAAAATTGTATATATTTTCTTTTATCATTTGAAGAATTGAATTCAGTGTCGTGTTACTTAACAACAGTAATGTTTCCTCATGAAGTAGTTTTAGTACATCTGAATGATTTTCTATGTTGTCTGTCCCATCTCTGGCTAAATAAAAAGTTGAAAAATGCAGACTTGTTATAATATTTCAACTTTGTGTTAGTAACAATGTAATATTTTGCTCCAGGTGGAACTATTGGCTTGCTGGTGGTCTTCATCCTCGAGGATTTCACCTGATGAATGTAGCTCTCCATGCAATAGTATCCATGCTTTCACTAGCAATATTCAACCTTCTGTTAGGTGGGGCTTCCCACCGGTCGGCTCTGCTTGCATCTGTGCTGTTTGCAGTTCATCCCATTCATGCTGAAGCTGTGAGCAAATTTTTTTACTGTTACAGAATGGTGGCCTCCAAATTTTACTAGATGGCAGGATCTTGGTTAGCAAAAAACCTTTAAATGACTGATCTTGAGAATTCTTAATTTTTACTGTAGCTTTTGAACTTCTACAGTTTGCTGTCCACCTTCCCCTGTAGTAGAGTGTGGGGCGCAGAAACTTCCTTTTTGTGAAGACACATTGCGAAGGGAGGGGAGGTCACAGAAAAGTGGGGATAGTAGTAAAGATAAGCAGCAGCACGCACACAAGAAGACTACACAGAATAACACCTATACAATACTAGAAACAAGAAGAAGCCACTGCAGCACTATAGACATAGGGCGAGTAACCCTGACATTTTTAAAATTTAAAATCTAGAGAAAAAATGTTTAAAGGCTTTTAAATTAGAACTGAAGATTTTATAAGTGCTAATCAGGAAGACCTATGTTTTTAAGTTTTAAATGTTATAAATAAGTGCAGTGTAACAGATATGTGAGTGTATACACCTGATGATGGCCGTTTGGGGCTGAAACATGTAGTGTATAGAGAGGAACAAAACGAAAGACCTATAAATATAGTTTGCACTTAGGACGGAGTTATATCATATATCGTATAAAGTGCAACAGGATGCTTAAATATAATATTGTATCCCATTGAGAGCTTTGGATTTTTCAGTTGACTTAATCCTTCCAGTCACACTGTGGCCCTGGGGTGGACTCAGCCTCTGACAGAAAAGAGTACTAGGAGTCTTCGTGGTGGTAAAGGATGGCTGACAACATGAGCGCCATCTGTGAGTTGGTTGTTTAGAAAATGTGGAATCCTTGGCATCTCACAACTCTGTGGGCCTCCACAACCTGTTATAGGGAAAACTTTACTTTTTACAAATGAGTATTTTTGTTACCATATTGTCTGTGCAGTTAATCATTAATGTATTCATGCTAGTCAGTGTTATGGTAGCATAAAGACAACCAACTTTTTAAATTAATTGTGATATGCTGATTACAGATCTTGACATGAAATTTTGTATCATCTGAGGAAGAATGCTGTAATGACTATATTTCATGCATATGTTAAGAAAAAATGTCACTTGGTAATGTTGACAGACTGGAAGGTAGAGGTTACAAGTCATAACAAGAGCATTTATACAGTATTTGGTTACAGTCATAAGTTGTGTGCATATGAGGTCAATTGTGTGTCCTGCTGCCTTTGTTCTTTGAATAAAGTGGTCTTTAATTTGGTAATATGAAGAGACATCATCATGAGTGTGTAAATTTGTCATACTGTTTTGTTTTGTGTATGTGGGCAGCAGAATCACAGTATCAGTCTGTAACAGAAAAGACAAAACAAACCTATTGTCTTTATTTTGGTTCCCATAGATTGATCAATACAAAATTTGGGCTTCAAGTACATGTTGCATGTCATGCTACATTAACTTGTTGGAATGGCTAAAAGGAAAGAAGGGTAGCTGTCTCTTTGCTCTTCCTATGACATAGTGTGAATCAACCAGTGACCTTAAAGCCTGCCAGTTCTATCTTACAGATGTTGGAACATAATGTATCGATGAGATACATATTTGTTTACAGCTGGGGGTTACATATTATTCTCATCATGTGGGTTAAATATTACAGCAAGCTCTATAGGTAATAAACAGTAAGAAATATTGTAAAGTTTATTGTGTTTTGGAGCAAATGTTTACTGTTTGCCTTTGGCCGTCATGCCGAGTGAACCCAGTTGGACCCCACCCCCCACTAAGTGAATTAAAAATTAATTACTGTTTGACTTTAGCCACTAAAGATTGTGGTGTCATCTTTTCTAGTCCTCCACTGTTTCACTGTACACTCTGCACTTTCATCTTTGTGCACTCACGAACGTGACCATGTCACACTGGTTCACCACACATGAACACTATGCAATGCTTCTCTCACAGTGAAACTGAGCTGAACTGACTTCATGCTATGCCTTGCAGCCAAGGTTTTGTGCTTGTTATATTTCTGTAGAAGTCCAATACACACACAAAGCAAGGTGCACTATGCTTTTGCAACATGTGAAAAGAAGGGGAGGTCTACTTAATCCACATGAGTATGTTTAATAATAATAAAAAATAAACAAAAAAAACATAGCTTATAAAGCAATATCTTGCAGTCAGATGATTGGTGTTCTTACATTCCTATCCACGGAACAATAAATAACACTATAAACACTATAAATATTTCAACAAATCCCCCATTAATAGGGGCGTATAAAGTACGAGTAGGCAAATGTGCAGTGACTGCTGAAGGTCTAGGGTCAGAAATTCATTTAACAGTAAATTGAAGGGTCACTGTACAAAGTAAATTACAACTTATGTATTATACCAGAAAGGTTTGGAACCACTGAGTTATACAAGGCCATGCATTTCTATAAGACATTCTAATTGTGATATGTTGTAAATTGTTTGATGGAAGATAGAGGAGAGGACTCAGAATCACATCAATATGTCTAGACCTAAGATTAATCTCTCTTTACTGTGTCTTTTTAAATTGGTATGAAAATGGTTTAAACTGGTTACCAAGCCTTTTGCAGTTCTGACACTCCTGAACCTGGCACAGAGCTGAAACATAAGATTACTCACTGAATCAAACCTGCTCAGAAACTTTATGTCATACAGTTCAAAGTCCTGGTCATCATACACAAATTTTAACTGAATATTCATTGAGTGTAATTATGACATTTCTTCAATTTTAATGTTGCATATATCTTTCATATTGCAACTTAACACATTTCAGTGCACTATAAATAGTTATTTATATAAATTATTTGTACTGTACAGATTGAAATAGGTATTGTCACGTGTGTGAGTTAACTATAGATGGGGTTTGGACTGGTAATTGGATTTATGGACCACTGACAGAACGTAACTACAAGTAACTGTAGTAAAGCTATCCCTGTAACAGGCCACAAAGGCCCATAGGGTTGTGAGATGTCGAGGTGCCCACACTTCTCTAAACAATAAGCTAGCAGATGGTGGTGAGGTTGTCGCTCCCATGCACCAGCCGCCTATCCCCAGGAAGATTCCTGCTACTCATTTCTGTTAGAGGCTAAGTTGACTCCAGGGCCACAATGTGGCTGGAACGATCAGGTCAACAGAAAAATCCCGTGCCCTAATCGGGAATTGTACCCACAACCTTCTGTCTTGTAGCATAGTGCCTCAACCAACTATGCTACTGCATGCCTCCACAAGTAAATATAGCGCCATCGCTAATTCACACACTGTACGATTCACTACTGCAGACACTCAGTCTGAGGAGCCGGGATCGCATAGTTGGTATAGCAACTGCCTACAGGCTGAATGGCGGAGGGGTTGGAGTTCGAGTCCTGGTAGGATCAAGAATTTTCTCTACTCCGAGTAATCCAGACTGGCTCTGGGGCCCATCAAGCGTCATATCCAGTGGGTACTGTGGGTCTTCCCCGGAGTTAAAGCAGCAGGGGCCTCCAGCTAGTGTTGAGGTCAAGAAAATGTGGATCTATACATCCACTCCCCCATTTGCCTTCATGGCGTAGTGCCTAATTGGTTAAGCACAGGGACAACTTTACTTTACCTTTACACACTAAGTCTTCTCAGCCTGCTGTGTCTTCACCAGTCATCTGGTAATGGTGTTCAATGCTGTAGCTTCCTCAGCTTCCATGTTCAGGCCCTTACAGGCTGGTGATTTTCCCCCATCTACCTAAGCTCTAGATTCGTCCTTCTTATGATGTCTTGGCATGGATTTCATTGAAAGTGCTGCTTCCAACAGTTCTGTTGTTGTGTCATGCAGCTGTTGCATGGACTGTGTAAAGATCACCTCTTCCAAGTTAGTCCTTCGGTGCATTTTAGGAAGCTGTTGATTAGCAGTGGGTGTTGTTTACAGAGTCATTACTTAGCAACTTGTCTACATGCTACACTATATTAACCCTTTGACGTGGTCATTTAAATTCCGCGGCCGCGGCTCCTGCGGTAATATATTCAGCCGGCCATTTAAATTTTGCTCGAAAATTATTTATTCATCATTGTTCTTAAATTCTATGAGATAGGAACATGAAACTTTCACTAAAATGATCTTAAATGGTGGTTTTATAACCTTACCTTATAATATGNGGCAACGGGTTAATGATCCTTAGAAAACCCACAGCTGTTTTACTGGTCTGTGAATCAGGTAGTATTGAGAACTGCAATAGAGATAAATAGTCTGATAACTAGATTATTGGCATAATATACAAAAGGCAGTACAACTATTGTCTGGTTCGACTTCTCATTTAGTATTTAATAAAGTATTGAGAGTATTTGGGAATAATATGGTTAGGAGAATGTTTGAAAAATCAAGAAATTTGGATTGGAAATGGCATATATGGGTAGCATTCATTGGTAAGTGCATATAGCATGCATTGGTAAGCAAGAAATGGATACAAAATTTTGGGAAGAGACAGCTTTCAAAATTGAATTGTAAATAGGATGAGTGTTGTATGCCATTGTCAGAACCATTTAGAAAGTACTGATAAATAGGAGGTTAATAATAAATTGGATTGTGATGAACTGGATTGAAATGTCTTATGATAGAGTCCTTTGGTGGGCTTTTGTAATATGAGATTAAAATTCTCACAGCCATGAATGTGGAGATACTGTCTACTTGGACGTGGAACAGTGTAATCTGGTAGAAGGTTACCACCATTCCAGAGGAATTTGCTGCCTTCTGCTGTTTCCTTCCCACATTTCCTTATATCCAAATTTTCCTGTGCAGGTGGCTTTTGTGCGCTGAAGGTGGGGGGAGTAGGTTTCTCCAAAAGTTGGTAACATTTGCCATATTATATGGTGTCATATCCAAGAAACTGTAATCAGCTTTTGTGATATCAGTAATGTGTTATCAGATGGCATAAGAACAGGACTTTCCTTGAGCAGTGTGAATAATTATCATCTGTCTAAGACCATGGGGTGAATGAGTGAGTAAGTTATTCAGTTTTTCCTTTTCCTCCAGGTGGCAGGTGTGGTTGGTCGAGCAGACCTGCTGTGTACATTGTTCTACTTCCTGGGTTTCATTGCATACTGCAATTCATTGCATTTTGACTGGGGCATATACCAAGCTGCCATGTTGCTGCTAAGCATGGTCTTCTGTGCCACAGCCATGTTCTGTAAGGAACAAGGTATCACTGTTATTGTAAGTAAATGAACACTTGCGTTCACAAAACTGAACTGCCACCAAACTATGAAAGAAATTCACTGAGTTTCACTACTCAATTCATATTTGTGTTCACAATAATTATGCTTCTTAAATATGCTTTATATTGTCACATATATTAGTGACTAGACATGGGGGTTAGATTGGTAATTGGATTTATCGAACACCTGTAACTCATAACTACAATTAATTTTAACAGTTTCACTGATTTACACACACTAAATCACTACACCAAACATTAATGATTTTATGTCTTCCACTGGCATTTCTTGGTAGCAGCTCTCAAAAATGGGTGTGCATCTGCTTCCGTGTTCAGATCATTACTGGCTTGCTGCTGTCCTGCAATTAACTCATGACTGATGGATCACCTTCTGAAACATGACTATCAGCTGCAACTGACAAACTTACCTCTTTCACAGGCCCTGGGTGCAGACCACGTAGAAAACAACAGATCTTCTGTTGTTGCATCTGTATCAGTTGTCATGGACACATGGTTATTGGCCCTTGACTGTCGGCTGCAACTGACAAACTTACCTCATTCATGCCTGGGCACAGACCACATAGAAAACAACAGATCTTCTAGTGTTGCATCTGTATCAGTTGTCATGGACACATGTTTATTGGCCCTTTGCCTGGCAGCAACCATCTCTTCTGACTTTACTATTCCACTTTTTAGTTGTCATGTGTTGGTGACCAGATACAGGGTTTGGAATGCTAATTAGATTTATTGGACACTTATAACTCATAATTACAAATAATTATATTGCTATTGCTAATCTTTGCACTTAAAAAATCACTACAGCACATACTAATTCTGTGTGTGTTATGTCATCATTAGTCATTGCTTGGTTACAAGTCTGCACTAGGGGTTAGTAGCTCACAGCTCCTAGCTGTGGAAGTTCTTCAGCTTCCATGCTCACATCCTTGCTGGATGCAACTGGCTTGCAACTGACTTCGAAGTCATAGTCAGAGTTACTTTACGACTGGTGGTTTGCTGCCAATCAGTTCGTCTTTGTGCAAGGCCCGTTGAGACCCACAAGCAGAGATTTTTTCCCAGCTCAACTGTTGTGGTAATAGTCCCTATACAACATCCTCTCTAATGAGAAAATGGGTTTGTGTCTTGTAAATATGCTTGTCTTTTCACCATGTGTACATTTCACACATATAACATGTTATTGAAAATTGTTCCCTTTGCACTACACACAAGTTCACTGTTAGTACAGGCTTTACTGAACAGATCATGCCTGTCTTAATATCTTATGCTACAGTGGCAGCTTAGTCATATGAACGGTCATAAGCTTGACCGCTGCCAGGTTTAAGCCTCTTATATTTTCTGTGTGTGGTTTCACCTTGTCCTATACCGTGAACATGTTCAGCAACTGACTTAACTAATCCAGCCCAGTTATGTAGCCTCGGGATGAACCACACAGAAAACATCACCACCAACAGCTCTTCTATTGTTGCATGCATACCTGTTTCTGCAAACACATGTTTGTTGAGCAGATGACTACTAGTGACCATTTCTTCTCTCTCCTCTACTCCACCTTTCAAGTGTCATGTCACAGTATTTTGCTTCATCAGTGTTGGGTATGAATGACCGTTTAACTCCTTGATTGGTTGTATGACAGACACTGTTGCTACTGGAAAACATTAACTACATGACACTAAATTTTATTAGGATTATCCAGATTATACATAATGGAATCACAATAGATTATGTTCTCAGTTATCACTGCTTAGATTATGTGGTTTGTGGCCTATCCTTGTGTGTTTCCAGCTGTGCACAGCACTATTAAATTTGCTCTGTCCCTCCATTTGTGTGCTTGTATACATGAATCAGCTTGAGAACTGCTGGATTGATTTTTGTGAAATATTTTATTGGAGAATATTATGGAAAATTGTAGACGCATTTGGAAGAGACTTCAGCACTCACTAGGTAGGAGGCTGTGTGGTCCCCAGACTTGGTCTGGACACTGTGGAGAAAGGAAAAAATCTCTGTCTCTCCAGCCTGTAGCTTATTACTACCCTGGCTGAGCTATCCTGGTTCTCCTTTTAATGAGGGAGAAATATGCAAGTGTGTGCTATGTAACTGTATTAAATTATGAAATTTGGTATATATATATATCATCATCATCACCCATTGTCTTCGTATTATAGTGTGTAATATATGAAGATGCTATGTTGTTATCACTGATTACTAAAGCACTGTCAAGTGTATATATAGTTTATGAGTGCAGAATTAATATTTGTTCTACGAGGTGCTATAGCAAAGTTCTTGGACTAGGTCAAAAAAGAAATGCTGGCTTAACTTACTAAATTTTGCCTGCCATCTCCTTCAAAATAGTCTCTTTGGGAATGTATACAGTAAATCATCATTTTTTGAACACTTCAGAAGCACCATGGAAGTAATTTTCCTTAATGCTGTTGAGTACCGCTTGTGTTTTCATTTTGATGTCATACACTGTTTCAAAATGTCATCCCTTCAGTTTCTGGGAAACAAAGTGAAATCACAGGGGCTAAGTCCAATGAGTAAGGAGGATGGGGAATGATAAGCATGTTGTTATTCACGAACTCTGTAGTTTTCAAGGAAATGTGGGCAGGCGCATTGTCATGATGAAGGAGCAGTGTGGTGCATGTAAAAATTTTCTGTTAAGATCTCCTGGCAAAGTCCAAAACTGATCCCAGCAGTGTCTGCAAGCTCATGGATTGTTTGGCGATGGACTTCATTGATGAGTTCTCAAATTTTTTCAGCATTTTCTATCATTTTGCTGGTGCTTGGTCGCCCTGAATTTTCATCGTCATCAACGGACACTCGACCAGCCTTGAAACGTGAATGTCATTCAAAAACCACTGTCTGGCTTAAAGAATTGTCTCTCAGAGCCTCACAAAGCATTTCAGGGGTTTTGGTAGCAAATTTTCCAAGCTTCATGCAAAACCTGATGCAGACACATTGCTCAATTTTGTCATCCATAGCAGACAAACAAAACATGAAATCAAGAAAGAAGTCATGTAAAAACAGTGCGTGTTCACAGTGAGGTATCACATGGCAAACTGATGCAATAGGCTTGTGGATGTGTGACCTTGGCCTCCCCTCTCGTCTTCTTTCACTGTGGCAGTTACAGCAGTAGCAGTCCAGGAACTTTCTGATACCACCTCATATATATATATATATATACATATCTGTGTGTGTGTGTGTGTGTTTGCACGCATGTGCATGTTTGTGCATGTGTGTGGGGGGGATGAAAGGTGATACATATCACCTTTCATCCCATGAATAATGTGAAAGAGAATTTATAATATCATGAGAGTCCTTGATAACCACAAAAGTAGCTTAAATTCTTTCTTGTTTTGTTATTTACATGGACAAATCTGATTTTTTTCAGGGCTTGTGTAGTGTATATGATGTTATTGTGAATGGCAAGCAACATCCTATAAGAATCTTAAGACTGCTGCAGCAGTGCTTCATTCTCCGGAAGATAAGTTGGCCCCCTGGACATTCTGAACAATGTCCTATGATCACACCATCCAATTGTGATACTCCAGTTGTCCAGAATCGTTCTTGGGTTGAAACTAATAAACAAAAACATGGTTGTTAGTAATTTGAATTAACTTTCTTTTTATATTAGTTATTTAACAATGTTCTCACTATTGAAACTATATAGAGCTGACAGAAAGCTTTGACTGACTACTGAATACTATTAGTAAGGACCAAATTTAGACAAAGTACTGCTCTGAAATGTTGGTAACGTGCTGCAGCTTTGTTGTATTTGTTGCAGTACAGATTTATTTTAACATTTTATAAGCCCTTATTGTGAGATGTTTTAGTATTTTATTGTTTATTATATGATCCTGTGAACCTGATACACTTAAAGTCAAATAGTGAAATGATATTTGAACTGTTAGTTTATTGGACAGTGTAATCAGAATAACTGTCTCTGTTGCATCATGGCAAAAACGAACTGTTTGATCATGTTCATTGCTTGTACAATATAGCAACTTACAAAGAGAGAGAAAAATAAGCGAGCAGTCATCATAATAAACGATACATGGGGTGCTATCTGAAAGTTCCCGGACTAGGTCATAAAAGAAATATTGGCTTAACTTACTCAATTTTGGCTGCCATTTCCCTCATAATAGTCTCCTTGGCAACATAATACAGCAATCCCATCATTGTTTCCACCCTTCAAAGGCACCTTGGAAGTAATTTTCCTTAATGCTGTGGAGTTCAGCTTGTGATTCCCTTTGGATGTCAGACACTGTTTCGAAACATTGTCCGTTCAGTTTCATTTTCAATTTTGGAAACAAAGTGAAAACACAGGGGGCTAAGTCTAGCGAGTAGGGAAGATGGGGAACGCTAACCATGTTGTTGTTAGTCACAAACTCTGTGGTTTTCAGGGATATGTGAGTGGGCGCGTTGTTGTGATGAAGGAGCTAGTTGTGGTTGTGCCAGTGATCCAGTCTTTTTCATTGCACATTTTCTCTCAGGTGTCTCGAGACGTCACAGTAAAAATCACAGTTGACTGTAGTAAACAGTCCTCTTCACATCGAAAAAACAATGAGCATTCTGTTTGTTGAACTCTGGACCTGCTATGCCTCTTTTGCTCTTGGTGATTCAGAGCTCTTCCATTGCGATGTTTGTTGCTTTGTTTCTGGAGCATGACTGTACAAGTCAGTCCAACTTTTGTCACCTGTTATTATCCTATAGATGAATCCTCATTAGCTTTCTCTCATAGCTCAAGAGACACGTTTACATGCCACTGCTTTTGATCATTTGTCAAGAGTTGGGGAACAAACTTTGCAGCAGTGTGGCACATGTTCAAATTTTCTGTTAAGGTCTCCTGGCGAACTCCATAACTGATCCCACTGGTGTATGTGAGCTCATGGATTGTTCAGCAGTGGTCTTTGTGGATGAGTTCTTGAATTTTTTCAACATTTTCTATCATTTTGCTGGTGCTTGGTTGCCTTGAACATTCACCATCTTCAGCTGACACCCTGCCAGCTTTGAAGCATGAATGCCATTCAAAACCTGCTGCATGGCTTAAAGAATGTTCTCCAAAAGACTCATGAAGCATTTCAAAGGTTTTGGTAGCAGATTTACGAAGCTTCATGCAAGACTTGATGCAGACACATTGCTTGATTTTGCCATCCGTTGCAGACTAAACAAGACACGAAGTCGGAAATGCACTCATGTAAAAACAATGCGTGTTCACAGCGTGATGTCACGTAGCAGACTGATGCAATAGGCTTGTGGGAGTGTGATGTTCTCCCCCCTCACCTTCTTTATCTAAGGCAGTTACAACAATAACAGTCTGGAAACTTTTGGTATACACCCTGTATACATACTTTATTATGTTAAGAACACCCATTCAAAGGGGCCTGACCAGTTCCATCTGTATTGTACTAGGTGTGAGCAAAGAGTTACATTTGAGGCCCCTTCTGTTTCGACACATGGTGCTTCTGCTCTCAGGGTTGGTACTACTGTTTGTACGGTGGCGAATAATGGCTTCATCTGCACCTACATTCCAGCGGGTTGATAATCCTGCATCATTCGCAGATAGCATTCTCACCAGGGTAATCATATACAGTAAAACTATTCCTTACGAATCTTTAAATTTTCTGCCCTTCGTTCCTTGTTTTTTTTACCTGTCATTATACAAAATTTCAAATAGTACCTATAAATTCTGTATATATTAACATATTTATTATGGATCTTCATTTTCTATAGAAATTTTTATTTTTCCTCTTATTTTAGTTGTAATGAAAACTTTAATGCTTGGTTAATGGCTGGTTACTGTTTTTGTTACCTCTTTCCATTTGTATAATTTGAAATTTGATCCTCTCATTTAATCCCATACTTATGCTATTGTGTGCAGTTAATGGAGATAATAAAACTTCATTATACTGCGATAAAGAACATTAAGATTCAAATGCATTAAAATGGAAAGAATTCTTTCTTCTGGAACATAATGCTGTGTAGTCTGGTGAAAGCCAGCTGACATTTCGGAGGAGCACGTTGCAGCCATCACCAGGTTGAAGAATAAGCTAAACAAGAAACTGGCATACATCAGGCAGCAAGCACTGCTTGGATTACTTCTCAATTCTGAAGATAGAGGCAGTATGTTCCTCCATGGTGTCAATTGACTTTCTTTGGACATTTCAAGATAGATCTCTTCTTAGTCCACTGCGAGAACCTCAAATCTGATAATGTGAATATAGATTTTAGTGCCAGAAGCTTATATCTTCTGATGTCCTGTCCGAAAACCTCAAGATTAAAGTATGTAAAAGGAAACTTACCAGTCCTAAGTGGATTAAAGCAAACATCTAAGTTCATCACTAAAAAGGACACAATTCAGACACTTCAGTTTCTTGATTTGATGTACTGGTGGACAGAAGCATCCTCATCAAGATAGATCCTGCTCTTGTATTTATAAAATGCAAAACAGCAAAAGAGCCCTGATATGAGGACCACTGAATATGAAAATAAATCATGAGTCAGCCACAGAGAATGAAATTGAAGTAACTGATATTTGACTGGACTGGAGATTAGCATATTTTCCCAGTATTTAAAGGGTTCCAGGTTTGATCCTAACTGTTGTCAACAATGTTAAATTTAAAACAGTGGAAAATCTGATTATAAGGACAACCAGTCACCTGAAAAGGGTATCAAATCCAACTCCTAAAGCATCTATATATATATATATACAGGGTGTCCCAGGAGGAATGTGCCAAACTTCGGGAGGGTGTTCCTTATGTTAAAGTATGCCGATATAACCCAAAACACCTATGTCCAAAGTTGAACGGTTACGGAGATAATGGCCCAAGAAAAGTGTGGTCTTCTGGCAGGTCCAAGCACTGTACCTCGCTGTACCTCTCAGCTGAGAGCCCTTATCTATGTTTGTCCTTGAGTGCGATGATACTCCCTAGCCGTGCTTATGTAGTTGGCTCATACCAGAACGCGCAGTCAGCACGTTACGTCATCGCTCGCCAGTCATGTGTTATGTATACTGCTTGGAAACCTAAGGACAATTATGACATGGCGAGCGAGTATTTTGTACTTCAATTTTATGGCTTTCCGTCACTCACAAGTTGGTTTGATGTTACGTACATTATTAACATTACAGAATCCACATATTCCTGCCAGTTTTAATATGTATTTTGTAATCAACAAGTGTGTAACCCCGGTCAAAGTTTGACACTTCTCGGGCCATTATCTCCGTAACCGTTCAACTTTGGACATAGGTGTTTTGGGTTATATCGGCATACTTTAACATAAGGAACACCCTCCCGAAGTTTGGCACATTCCTCCTGGGACAGCCTGTATATATATATATATTAAATGTGTGTCAGACAGCGGACAGAGCCAGCATTATATTGCTATAGTAACTTTAAATTTACTCATTTTTCTTGTTTAATAGTTTATATGGACATCGAATATAATGATATATATATATATATATGTGTTTTAAATGGTGATATTCTTTCTAATTTGAAAGGTTATCTGGTTTTGAATGTGTTACATTATTATTTTATGCTTCAGGTTCTCAGCTACAGTTATATATATGCATTAAATGGCTGGCTTCTGTTGTGTCCAGAATGGCTATGTTTTGATTGGTCTATGGGTTGTATCCCACTCGTAGAATCACTAGAGCCTCGCCTTCTTGCAGTTGGACTCTTTTGGATGACTTTCATTGCATTGTTATGGAAGTCTCTAAGTATTCCAAGTGGAAAAGGTCAACGGTAAGAAAATTTGCCTGTACTGCTTTCAGTTTCTTATAAATCTGTTTTTGATATAGTTCTAGCATAAGAAAGCAGACTTAAGGACAAGTATGTCACTTTTGAGGCCTCTATGTACCAGATTTATCTGCTTCACTGTAGGGTCTGACAGTGAGTTTTAGTGATGATCAGGTTCCAGAATGACAAGGAATTTGATTATCACATAAATATCATCTCAGATAGGTCCATGATGTATGGTATAGATTATCAGTACCAGATAGGGCTGTGTGTTTGAATTTGTTTCAGTGTTCATACTCATATGGGTATTGATTATATGCTCTTCTTTCTTTGTGATGAAAAAATTATAGTAAGAAAACTATACTATTTTTAAAAAATATAATATGTGCTTTTCAGCTTATTTCTTTTCTATCAAAGTGTAGTATGTTGTTTCTGTTCCAGGAGTTTAATAATGTGTTTAGCTGCATTGGTGATTCCATTCCTGCCAGCCACAAATGTATTTTTTCGTGTGGGATTTGTAATAGCAGAACGTGTATTGTATCTGCCATCTGTTGGGTTTTGTTTGCTTGTTATTGTGGGACTTCGAAAGCTTGCCATGTTTCATGGAAGTCATCGGGTGAGTCTCAGATTAATTTTTTATACAGAATACCTTTGTTTCGTATGTTTATGGTAGTGCTTTCTGATAAAGTTGATGCCCATAATTGCTATCAGTCATGCTTCTTATGTTTGAATGGTAGCTCAAGATACTGTTAGGGAAAAATGCAGGTGGAACATTTCAGATTTATAATAAACGAATATATGCTTTATTTGACAGTGGATAAAATTGTACACATTCTGTAAATATATTCAGGTGATGATAAACAGTAGTTTACAAAAGGCAACTGGGCGCAAGGTAGCAACCCCACCATCAAACTATCCCTGTGTAGCTCTCGTAATGTGACCAGGGGAGATTCAAACTACTGGTAGTCTTCAATTATTGTACCATAGCTAGATGGGAGGATGTATTCTCTTGAAGGCAGAAGCAGGCCAGTAGCCTATATCCTTACACAAGAAGGAGGAGGAGGAGTGGGAGAAGAAAATGAGGATGATGACAGAGTCAGCATAGGAGGAGAAGGAGAAGAAGTGGTGATGGCTACTACGACTGTAACATTAAGATTTTTTAATTTTACTTATGCAGGGCAGTCAAAAAGTTCCCAGAATGGTGGTATAGCACTCTAATGGTAGGACATATGGCAACGCTTACCTAATCACCTTCAAAGTAGGACCCTTGCGCGCGCACACACTGCATTGATCCTGCCATTGTTGGCAGCAGTGGTGGAAGGCTTCCTTTGGAATCTTCCGGAGCTCAGCTGTCGCATTCGATTTGATGTCCTCCATAGTTGTGAAATGTGTCCCGTTGAGGCCCATTTTCAGAGTAGGGAACAGCCAAAAGTCACTCGGAGCGAGATCCGGAGAGTACAATGGTTGAGTGATGACAGGAATGTTTTTCTCGGTGTGGAATTGCTGCGCAAGATGCAATGTGTGGCTCGGTGTGTTATTGTGATGCAGAAACCACTGTGCCTGCCACTTGTTGCCCCGCTTCCTCCGAACCGCATCGCGCAACCTCTGCAAAACTTGCACATAGAAATTGCCAGTAACAGTCTGTCCAGGTGGTACAACTCATGGTTCACCAAACTGTTGATATCAAAGAATGCAGTGAGCATCAGTGTCTTTGGATCTGACAAGGCGTGAATTTTGGCCGAGGAGATGATGGTGTGTGCCACTCCGATGACTGCATCTTCGTCTCTGGTCGTAGGCGAACACCAATGACTCATCACCCGTGACGATCTTTTTGAGAAACATCGGGTCCTGCTTACTTTCGTCAAACACATCGCCAGCAACCATCATGCGACATTCCATCTGATCCGTGGTTAGCTGACTCGGAACAAACTTCGCATTGACGCGTCTCATCTTCAAATCATCGGACAAAATGTCATGAATGGATCCGTGAGAGATACCAAATTCTTGCTCCAACTCCGCGATGGTCATTCTTCGATCACAATGAATCAGTTGCACTTTTCCAATCATTTGTTTGATTCTGGATGTCGAAGGTCTCCCGCTGCGCTGATCATCCTCTAACATCTCCTGCCAATTCTTAAACCGGGAAAACCAGTCGTAAACTGTGGATTTCTTTAGTGCAGTATCACCGTAAACTTGCTGCAGGGCTGATTGCGTCTCTGAAGCAGATTTTCCCAATTTGCACATGAACTTGATGTTCACATGCTGTTCAAACCGTAACATTGCCCCGAATGACCAACACTCATGTCTAATTTAAATGGAACAGTAATGACACTGCACACTGACACCTGTCCAGACCTGTTGCGCCTGTAAGCAGACATGCTGAGCTCCCCACCACAACAGTGTGTGCACTATCTTATTGCTCGTTCGCTGCCTGCAGGGGAATTCTGGAAACTTTTTGACTGCTCTACGTATAAAATGTACTTGTATATAGAGAGAAAATATTTAAAATTTGAGTTGGACAGCCTATGACCTAGTTAGTTGATACCTAATATATTGACCCTAATATAAGGTGACCCAAATATTAGATATTTCCTTTACTTGACACTTAAGGTCATGAAATTCTATAGGTTGAACAGATCAAACAGCTCACCTAGTGAATGAACTCTGAAGAAAACCAGAGGCTTGATCCCATAGTTACAGTGGAGACAACTTGTATAGGAGATGGAAACACTAATAGAAAAAGTTCTGATCTTCCAGGTTGGAGAGTGTGCTGTAAATTTGTAAATTGTAAACTCAAATCACATTATGTATTTTCCCCTGAGGAACATTGAGACAAAAAAATACCCCTTGATGAAATTTAATTGATGCATAATTTGTAATAATATTTGACCAAGACCCACATACATTAATGCCATCATTGGACTCAACTTTAATAATCACATTTTACATGAAGATATAAAATGTCAAGGGACCTTTCTTCTTACTGTTCATCAAGGAAGCAGATGGTACACTTTATATGTGACAGTATCCATACTGTGTTGCCTCATTGTTTGAGCGCTATTTGGGAAGTAACTTCCATTTATTTTAGGCAACTGATGTATGAGCAGAGGGGAGCTCCTGCATGCGAGGTAGCATCACATGACTCGTTGCCTTGTAAACTATCATATAACTGGTCAGCTAATGTTTGTTCTTGTCTCTACAAAGTGAGTTATGATGTGTCCTGCAATTGATAATCCTGACATCTGTGAAATTTGCAATGTTGGAGTACTGCAGAAATCCATTGTGAATTATGCATGGCAGCTTACAGTTAAAATATTGTAACGTGTTTCGTTACAGAATACGCCGTAGAGATGGTTAATTGGTTTATTTAACAATCTACAAGTAACGGCTACAATTACTTATCTCACAGTTGCGGGGTTTCACACTTTATAACCCTAATCGCATTAATCTGTTAACACTGTTGCAGGGTTTCACGACTTATAACCCTATGAGCAAATCAGTTCACTCTGTCTTCAGTAGTCTACACGTTTACAGTAGGGGAGCTTTGTATCACTGTATCACACGCTCCCAATTACACAATCACACACACGTCCGGTTCTTCTTTCCGCGACGGCTGCTATACTCCAACTGTAGTCGGCTGACTGGAGAACTGTTGATAACACACTAACTCGTAGGCTCGGAACTATCTTCGGCGATAGCCAGGTTACAACTGACTAGGCGACTGTTACTTTATAACTCTCCTCGGCTGTCACAGTACAACTCGGAAATGTCTTCAGTACAACTGAAGTCGCCGACTGCTACAGTAGAACTGACTGGTACCTGCTGTGCAGCTCACTTATATAGCTGCAGTGCTTGCCGGTTGCGTAATGAGTGCCACGTCACAGTAGGAAGTTGATTACGGGTACGTAGCGTTGCGCGTTACGTCACCGCGGAGGGGAGTGGCGGGCGGGAACTCGCCTATTACCGTAGTAACGCGAGCGTTACGTTACCGCCACGTACCGCTGGGGAGGTAGGGGTGATCCATAGCTCAACATGTCACAATATATTTAGTGAAGGAACTGTAAGACAATGGTGGAGAATGCTGAAAGATGGGTGAACAGATGTTCATGATGAAGAGCAAAGTGGTCGACAATCTGTAGTGAGTGACGAACTTGTTCAGAGTGTTGACTAAGAAGTTAGTGGAAGATGGTGTTTCATGATTTCAGAACTTTCATGTGAATTTCCGCAAATTTCACGCAATGTTCTCTGTGAGATATTACATTTAGGCTAGGTTATGACAAGTTTTCCACAAGATGGGTTCTGAATATGGTCACAGGTGCACACAGAATGCAGATAATGGTTTTGGCTTTGACCTTTTTTAGAGCAATACCACAAAGACAGTGATGAATTTCTTTCACATCCTACAAGTAACAAATGATGAAACCTGGGTTTCATTTGTGAATGTTGAAACTAAAGAGCAATCATAGCAGTGGATGAATGCAAAACAAGCCAGGAAAGCTTAATCAGATGTTTGCCTGCTAGAAAGCTGGTAGCAAATGTTTTCTGGAACAGGAAAGGAGTGCTGATGGTGGAATTCATGCAACATGGGACCACCATGTCAGAAGTGTATTGCAAAACAAAAATTTCTGTGTAGAGCTGGCCATTCAGAACAAAAGGCATGGAATCCTAACATTTGGTATATTGCTTCTCCGTGACAACGTGTGTCCGCATACAGCTGCTCACACTTGAGCACTGTTGGAGCATTTCAAATGGGAGTTGTTTGACCACCCTCTTTACAGTCCTAATCTTGCTCAGAGTGACTACCACCTGGTTACCTACCTGAAGAACTGGTTGTGATCACAGTGCTTGAACAGTAATGAGTTAATGAAAGGTATTAGAACGTGGCTGAGCGCACAGGTGGCAGACTTCTTTGACACAGGCATAAAAAAACTCATTCCCTGATACAAGTGCCTCAATTCCAGTGATGAATACATTAAGGAGTAGCTTAAGTATGTATTTATTTTTAGTATATAATATTTTTTTTTTCTTATTTTTTGTTTTGTTAACAGCTCACTGGAGGTTACTTTCTGAATAGCCCTTGTATTGCATTTCCCACAAAAATTATAAGTGAAGCAAAAATTTATCAAGTGCCATTTTATTTCATTGCCCATCAAGAAATCATGTACCAGAGTCAATTGGCATGAATTTCCAGATTCTGTATCAAGAGATTGTTAGGACTAATCAAATGGCTGATGGGTATTGTCATGTATTAGTGACTAACTGTGACTAGCTAGTGACAGCTGCTAATGATGTAACTCAAGACTGCTAAAAGCTGATTCCAGCCTCTGGCTCACTGTCAACTCATGACTCTTGACTAGCTGTTGACTCGGCTGGTGTCCTTGATATAGAACCCTTCAGCACGGACCACACAGGAAATGCTCCTTTCAAGATACCTATATTGTTGAGTGACTTGTTAAGTGGGCTGTTGCCTAGCGATGGCCCAGGTATTATTGACTTGGCTGCGTGTTTTGGTTTCCATGGAAACGTGTTTACCGGCCGTTGCCTAGTAATGGCCGACTTTCTTGCCGACTTCACACACCAGCAGCAGATATCCACAATGATGCCACAGATTTCACGTTCTTCCATGCCACGTGCCCATATCTCATATCTGTTTAACTAAAAAATACGAGTAGTGGCTAAAACTGGAAATAAAGTATGGTATTTGTTTTTAAAACATTCTTGTCCAAAAGTAGGGGTGCATAAATTATCACACTCCTCCATATATGTTCATGGTTTGGTATTTACCATTAAGCAGCTTTACCTTAACCTTCAGCCATACTAAAACATCAAGTCCTTTGTACTACTGGCAACAGCCATTCAGTCTATTGATGTTTTCTGCTTTGTTCACAATTATGACATAACCCCTCATTTTTAAAATGCTAAATTATAAAAGCACGTCAGTATTAAGAAAATAGTGGCCTATCTTGAAGGACAGTAATAGGTGTTATAAGGGTTTCACATGAGGTATGCCATCTGTGGGTGCATAATATACTAACTGATATGAATACTGCTATTGTAAGCTAACACAGTAAGTTTCCAGTAAAGGGTTTGTTGCCATTTACAGGCCATTCAAATAGGTTACACATATGTGGTACTTTTACTGGGCATCCGAGCTGTCTGTCGCAGTGCTGAGTGGCGAACTGAGGCAGTGCTGTTCCATTCAGGTCTTTCAGTCTGCCCATTGAATGCCAAAGTGCACTACAATATTGCCAAGAATGCAGGAGATGCAGGCAACAGAACACTTGCCATCTTTGAATACAGAGAAGCACTGAGGTTAGTCACCTAGTCCTTGTGCTGTGATTTCAGCAGTTTAACTAGTGAGCTTGCACAGGTTGGAAGTATGAGTCCTGTGAGTACATTTACTTTTTTTTTCCTTGCTCCCACTTTGGAGCATAGGGCTGATTTCTCAGTTTCTTGATCGTTTTGCAGACAGTAGGTCTCCTTAGATGGGTGATCAGCTCGTCGCAAGGCCTGCATCTAAACGCAGGACAGTGCAAACACACACCAAACATCCATGCCTTGAGTGGGATTTGAACCCATGATCCCGGCTTCCAAGCAAGCAAAGATAGTACATGCCGATTCATCATATCTTTAAAAACAGTGAGCTGTGTGTTTTATCTCATGCACCAGTTTTTTATATGATGAACAGGTTTAGAAAAAACCAATAAAAATTAATTTGAGTTTCGCGTAAGTAAGGTTTATATTGGACTTACATAAATGAAAATTAAATTATCATGACAATTTTAATATAGCCCCCCTCTCTCAACACTGAATACTATAAAGTCGTTTCTGAGGTTATTTATTTTGATGGCTAACCATCACATTATGCATCTCTTGTATGTACTCTGTACAAATATTATATAACAATTATAGGTCTCTATGTAATTTCTCCCAGAATAATTAGGAACTGCCTCAGAATTGTCAAACATAACCTCAGAGCTTCACAGTGTGGGCAAAGCACAATAGACCACTGTAGGTCGTGGTGCAAGGGCCGAGAAGGCCTACCCCTCATACATTCATTCACAGTGTGGGCAGTTTTGTAATAGTAACGTACAAAACTTTTAGGTATGTTTCTGATAAATCTCCATCTCAGATTTCACTTGTTTATCTGTTGTAGTTCAACATTTAACACCATCAAATGGAAAATTAAATACAGATTTAACACAATGGCAATGTTATTTCATGTTTGACAAAAACGTAACAATGGCTTGTTACAAAAATGTTAGTGCTAAGGTTGCTCTCACAACAGATGTGAGAAGATTGAGGAAAACAATGTAAAGAGTACTTCAAACAGTGCATTTTCAGATATTGAAAATGTATATTAGAAGCAAAAATATTTTGTGACATGTAAATCAAGAACTAATAAATTGAGAGGAATTCTGTAAAAATTCCTTCTCACAATATTCATCATCTTGGTTTCTTCAGCAATGATTGAATTTTCCATTTATGTTTTCTACTTCCATAACTCTTTGCTTTAAAAGGCAGTCATCAATACTGGCTTTGACCACGAATTAGTCTTGCTCAGTCTTTAACCCTTTCACTGCTGAGTGAATAAACCTACCATAACTCTCTCTGCTGAATTAATTTTGTAATGCTCATTTATGAAACTGAAGGGAAATCAAGTAGAAGTTTGAATAGTGCATGCATACTTAATCTTAATGTTACATGTTGAAGGTGGTTTTAGTTGATGTATTTAGTATCCCTCAGACAGCCAAAGTCAGGTAACATGTTGAGTAGGATATTCCTGCTGCTAGATTCAGTATCTAAATTTAATCACAGGTGGCATACAAACACAGCAAGAGGTCTGCCTTGTACTTCATTATGTTCATGTTCATGATAGATGGAAGTACGGGGATAAGTCAATAAGTAAGTTACAAATGGATATAAAACTTAAACAAGTAAGAGTACTGCTTTGAAAAATGCTTTTATTTCTCAACATAATCCCCCTGTACATTGAGGCACTTGTCCCATCGTTTCACAGGCCCCTGCAAACCAGCAGCATAAATTTCTTTGTGCTGCTGTCGGAACCAGGCAGTGACTTCCCTTTCTGCAGCTTCATCATCAGGAAAATGTTCAGCTGAAAGATGATGTTTAAGATGGCCGAGCAAATGGAAGTTGCTTGGAGCAAGACTCATCACCTGTGACAGTTCAGGCTAGCATACTGTGTCCTTCATTGTGGTAGCGATTGAGATGCTGTAATGCCAGACCCCTTATTTGCATTTTGTGTTGTGGGGTCAGCATGCGTGGCACCCATCATGCACAGACTTTGTGGAAACCTAACCTGTCATGCAACTTCCATTTGTTCGACCCTCTTAAACATCATCTTTCGGCTGAACATTTTCCCGAGAATGAAGCTGTAGAAAGGGAAGTCACCGCCTGGTTCCGACAGCAGCCCAAAGGAATTTATGCTGCTGGTTTTCAGGGGCTTGTGACACACTGGGACAAATGCCTCAATGTACAGGGAGATTATGTTGAGAAATAAAAGCATTTTTGAAATCAGTACTCTTATTTGTTTAGTTCTATATCCATTTGCAACTTTTTTTTTATTATTTCTAGTGGGGTGTGCCCAAGTCCCTTGTACTGCGGCCACTTCTGGCCTATTGTACCAACCCCAGATGATAAGTGAGAGTGATTGTGAAGCAATTGGTGGAATGAAGATTGGCAGGGGAAACCAAAGTATTTGTAACTTACTTATAGACTTACTTACCTACATATATGCTTGGCAAGTCTGAATGCATATAGAAAGTTAGTTTGGATGATGTATGTCCATAAATATCGCACCTGGAAGAATGTGGGCACAACAAGGATGTCATGTTGCTTCATGCCCATAGTATTATGGGTCCAGTGGCATAAAGATTAAAGTGGATACTTACAGGATGAAGACAGGGCAGAGGTAGAGATCCTTCTTTTAGCCATCACATTCAGACCAACCCTGGGCCCAGCCTGCCTTCTGTTTAATGGATGAGTAATGGGGCTTCTTTCCTTAGGTGTAAAGCAGCTGGTGCTTGGAGCCAAAACTTTTTCTCCATTCGTTGCTGAAGTCTTGAATGTGTGGAGCTTTACCTTCATGTCTCTTCTCTGCCTTTGTTTTATGGTTGTTGAACACAGCTTGACTAGCTTTGATCAGTCTTTCTCAGCTTTCTGAGAGACTTTGAGAATAACTTGTATAGATAAATGTAATCTTTCCTGAATGATAATGTGAATTATTGTCATGTTTGCTTTTCAGATTGCATTCAGAGTATGATCAAGCAATGAACAATTTGGCCAACATTTTGAAGGATGAAGGAAAACTGCATGAGGCAGAGCGTCTTCTGCGGAAAGCTGTGCAGCTCAGGTAAGACACTTGATTTTTCCCTGAAGAACAGATATATGTTGGAGTATATTAGTATTGCGTTTTGAAATAGCAGGGATACTGCAGAATCCCGAGTGTTTTCATATTCTGTGAATATTCTTTCTTGTCCAAGTCAAAACCCAAAGTAAACATATTATTTTCCTGCATTTAGTGACTTCTATATAATTAATAACGCACATTTAATGTAAGAAGTTTTCAACTTTTGACAGTATATGTCTCCATTTTGTGTAATTGTTATTGAATCAATCTATATTCATGTCTACTCTGCCAGAAATTGTTTCTTAACAACCATACTTATTTCATAAGCCATTATTTTGTTTGTTATTGATTGTATAATTGTTTTATTTGTGCAGAAACAGTTTCTTTAATTGCTTATTGAAATGGTTTTATCATAGTTATATACAGTGAGTCCTACGAGAAAATGAACAGTTTATTGGTGTAATTTTGCAGAAACCCCTGAAGTGAAGACTTCAGTTTAGTGTAAGAAAGGCCATTCCCATCAAATTTCATTAGACATACATTTTATTGTGTCACTGTTTTTCTTTGTTGTACACCATAATTGTGATCTGTATACTGAGATCACAGATAATATTATATTTGTTAACATGAATGTGTGAAGTTGAGGATTAGGCATATTTGGCTGTTTTGATATGCTGTGCTGCCAGTTATAGGTAATTCAAAGCCTTTTCATCATGTCCAGTGTAAGAGAGGAAGCATTGTCATGTACTCCAGAATTTGGAGAAATATGGATGTAGTCTGTTTGCAAACTTATCCAAGATAGAGAGGAATGCAGAAGTCTTCTGACCAGGAGGGTGTGGCTTTGTTCTTCTCTCGGGAGAATGTTTCAATGATGTATTAGTTGAAATTCTAAGATGACAGAAATGTAGGGAGCTGCAGATGTTGAAGGGCTGTTTCTCATTCCCCTCAAAAGAACTGTGGAATTGAGAAACTGCAGTAACAGTAAGTCAAGTCCAGTGTTATGCTCTTATTCCTGGACTTGACGAAACCCAAATTTTAATTTTGCGTGTTAACAGATTATTTGGTGATAAGAATTTTGGAGACCATGGTGTGAACTTAGTAAACCTCAGGGTTTCCATTTACCCTCTAATGAAAATGCAGATTGCTTATTGGCAGACCAATGGGAGGACAAGTATTCATACTGGAAGGTTCACAGCTTTGACCTCCAAAATGGGGATGTTGCTACAAAACTTCAGCGAGTTGTGTGTCTACTTTGGAACCCAACATGTGACGTCCACGGAAATTAACCCTCATGCACAACCGTGGCCCATATTAAATATTCTGCAAAATATCAGTCTGACATTTCAGTGACACAATCCAGGAATTTTAATTTTGAAAGTGAACCACGTATTATTGAGCAAGCAGTGATTCCAAGTTTGTGAGTAAAAGCGTACCTGAAGACATCAAATTAAAGTTTCAGCCTTTAGTAAATAACATTTTTCTTTGTTCTTGATACCTGTATTGCTTCTACGAAGCTCCACGTGTTATGTTGCTGAAATGAAACATCTTTCCATACTTTACAAGTTTTCAGGGAAAAGTCATACAAGTAAACATCTTTAATTTTATAATATGTATGAGGGGCAGTCAAATGAAAATGGGTCAGAAGCCAAAACATATTAAAAAACATTTCTTACCTCAAAAGTAATCTCCAAAACTGTTAATACATTTATCCCACTGGGAGATAAGACGGTCAATCCCATCCTTGAAAAAGCTTGTGGGCTGTCTACGGAACCACATATTTACCCAGCCACATGTCTTCATCTAATGCAAACCAATGTCCACGAATGTCTCTCTTCAGGTCTTCAAAAATGTGAAAATCACATGGGGAGAGATCTGGGCTGTAGAAGGGATGATGAGGCACTTCCCAACCAAATCTCTGTAGCATATTCCTCACAGAGTTGGCAGTGTGGGGGCGCACATTATCATGAAGGATAATGCTGTTCAATAGCATTCCAGGGTGTCTTGACTTTATGGTATGTCTCAATTTCTGTAAAGTGTCTTCATAGTGCTGTGCACTGACTGTGGCCCCATGCTCGAGAAATTTGACAAGCAGAGGGCCCTTGCAGTCGAAGAAGAACATCATCATCACTTTACCAGAACTTGTGTGTATGGCTTTGGATTTCTTCGGTGGGGGAGAATTCATGTGTTTCCACTGTTTGCTCTGCCGTTTGCTCTCGGGTTCAAAGTGGTGGCACCAAGTTTTGTCCCCAGTAGCAATTCGGGACAGAAAAGCATACTCTTCCTCATGGTATCGTTGCAAGTGATCCAGTGATGCAGCCATTCTCCGAGTCTTCTGTTCCTCTGTGAGTTGTTGTGGAACCCACTGGGTGCAGATTTTGCGGTACAGCAGGTGTTTTGTCACAATGGCATGTATGGAACCATGACTTATTCCCATCAGAAGACTAATTTCTTCCACAGTGTTCTTCGGTTTGCCCAGATATGACCAGGCAACGCAGCAATAACATCAGGAGTGATGACACGATGAGCCTGTCCTGGCCAAGCATCATCTTGCAGTGGCACACGTCCCTCTCGGAATCTCTTATGCCATGCCAGCACGCGTGACTGTGACATGCTGTGTTCACCGTAAACAACAGACCTGCGACAATGAATTTCTCATCCTCCTACTCCTTCAGCAGTCAAAAAGCGCCCTACACTTCGCTGTTCTTCTTTACCCACCTCCATTACTGATGTTAGACGACCACACATAGTGCTAACCTTGCTTCCAGCACAATAAACAAATGACTAGTGTGCAAGGGCACATCACTGTGCTTTCCCGAGTCCCCACCAGATGTTCATACCATAAGCAAATTCCAGTGTTACCAACTTGCGCGCCGTGTGAGTTATGGGTGGTACCTGTTTTCATTTGACTGCCCCATATATATAATTATAGTGTCTATGAAAGTGTTATATTGGCTTTCCAGTGATAGCAGCCACTTGTTATGATTAGCCTGTGCAACCTGGTACCTGTGCTGAAGAGTTCTTTCTTCTGGGCTATAATTCTGTGTATTCCATTGAAAGTTAACTGACTAAATGGTATTATTCTCAGATCTCTGCTGTTTGGGGAATCATTGTTAGGACCTCAGTAGACTGCCACCTCAGAACTCCTGTCAGAAAAGATAGTGTTCTGAAATTCAGGTCCTGGTGGGACTCCCTAAGTACAGCTTATGTGAAATTAACAAAATAATTACTAGAATTTATGAAATGAAAAATAAACAGTTTAACCTCATAATATAATACCCACCATTCCATCTCAGTATTCCCATTAATTGTTAACTAACTTCATCTATAACCAAAAATAACTGTCACACTTACTGTCTTTTAACTTAGTTATTTTCAAAGCCCATGTTTATAAGAGTTATGAAGTTTAAACCAATAGACATCTACTTTGATGGAGAGAGAGAGAGAGAGAGAAAAGAACTGTACTGTGCTGAGACCAGGGAAGGAAATCCCATGGATCAGCTCCCATCACATCTCCTTTGAGGTGTTACATTTCACCCTCTAGCCAACTTCCCTCCAATTGTATAGCTATTCTGTTCACAGGAATGATGGTGGTGATAATCACTGATTATCTTGGCTAGTGACAAGCACTTTGGGCTGGTGGAAACCAGAGGAAGCTGGAGGAGAATACAACAGGTGGATTATTACTATTGCAATGATAGCAAAATGATATTAGAAAGTGGAGGATGTTAGGCAGAAAGTAAGAAGCCTTGAATGCCATCATTTCCACAGTCCTTGGGACTTCCTTCTGTGGCCTCAGTGTAGTAACCAAAATATTTATAGCAATATAGGCTTGATACCAGTTGCGTGAAAGTTTTAGAGCTATCAAGGAGCTCAGATAAGCCACAGGCCACATGAATATTTTATGGCTGTCACAAACTGACCATCCCTGTAGGTAGTAGTCACTCTTTATGACTTCCCCCTTGACATACTTAAACGGTGCTTTTATACTTTAAATGGTATGAAGCGTACTGATTCTTGCTGAGTGTTATACTTTTGTAGTTGTAACATGGCTTTGACAAAATTAGGTTATGAGCCTGTGTTTGCCTACTCATGCTCTCTACTAATACCTTGTTTTTCAAGAGCTAACGTGTACTTAGTTAGGTTTCACAACAAGTGCTTTCATGTACAGTACTTCACATAAATTATGCACTTTTTAGCTTTTGGATGTGTAATTCTGCAAAAGAGAGTGAAGGAATTGTTAAATTAAATTTGATGTTTAAGATATCAACAACAATTAAATAGCGGTAGCTAGTTGCTGCTTCAACACATAGCATTATTTTCCCATTGATGGGACATAGTTGTAAATTAGGGCCATAATGTTTTGCAGGCCTGACTTTGCAGCAGCGTGGATGAATCTGGGTATAGTGTTAGCAGGTCTGAAGCATCACAGTGAAGCAGAAACAAGCTATTTCACTGCACTTGCATATCGTAAGAAATATCCAGATTGTTATTATAACCTAGGAAATCTTGTGAGTATAAGGTTCATGTAATTTAAGTGAAACCTTTTTAATTCAAATAAGTTGACGTGAATGGGTTAGCATAGTAATGATATGCCTGAGTCACATTCAGGAGCTACCCATTTCAAATTTTGGATAGGTACTGCTTATCCCCCTCCACACAAGTGCCAGAACAGTATACAGTATCCCATTTGATACTACATACATGAGTATCTGATATACTTCATGAAATAGTTTTATAAAAAAACAAAACTAGAAATCTTGAAGATATGTTGAAGGATTTTAGAATCAGTTGGGATATCCAGTTATGCTAATATAATTTCAGGAAAGGGGATTCAAGAACACGTAAATTCTTAACACTTTGCTATACCATTTGAATTCAATGTATATGATGATATTTAAGTTGGTTAATATTGTGACATGATGGCTGAAAGCCAGCATAGTTTAACAAGAAGAGGCAGTCATTGTTAGGCAGTGGCACAGTAAACATGTTTCTCAGCAGCGAATCAACATGCAATAGAGGAACTGTTAGAAATAGTGTTTTCTGTGTGGTCCATGCCAAGGTTATATAACAATATTTTTGCCACGGTGGTATAAATCTAAACAGCGGGATTCTGTACTCACGTGCAATTCTGATTGTAGTAATGAACTGCCACCTCTTATAACTGGAAAGTATAAAAGTCCACATTGCTTCGAGAATGTTAAAAGACTGCCCACAAAATATGAAGCTAATACAAATTCTTGGGTGACCACCAAAATATTTGAAGATTACCTCACACAACTAGATAGAAAGTGCTAGAAATCAAAGAATCTTGCTGTTCATTGATCAGTATGCTGCCCCCCCCCCCCCAAAGAACACCACATTTATCAGCGACATCAGAGTTGTATTTCTCCAAGCAGATTCTGCTAGCCAGCTAGAGACTTCAAATTTTTGAATCCATGCATTCAATGCCATTACAGAAAGCAGTTGATTCAAAGACTGTAGCCATGATAGATGGGGAACTGCTCCAAGATTCTACACCAGTGGTTCTCAATGTGGCCTGTACTGCCCCCTGGGTGGTGGTGGTGGGATTACCTAAGAGAGGTGCTAAGAGGTGGGAAGTGCCATAGGTGCGCCCCTCTGAGCGTATTGTGTGCTTATTTACAATTGAAGTGACGTTAGACGAGACATTGGGAAACTGGTATCACTTCATGCAGCCCATCCATCACATTAAGAATTTACTAACAGTGAAGTAGTTACTAAATGTTGTATCTTATTTTATTGTTATTATCTTCCTCAGTGAGTTGTGCCAACCACTGTTCTGAAGAATGTTTTTGTAGGTTAAGGCAGAGGACAGTGGGGTGAGTTCATGGAAGCAAGGGGGCAGTGGCCTGAAAATGTTTTGAAACCACTGTGCTACAAAGATGATACAGAATGTTTTAACTGCAGTGCAGGTCATAGCATACGGCTGGAGATTGACACTACTACAGCAATTAGATTTTCTATGTGAAGTGTCGTTTCTCAATCATGTCAGCAGCAATGATAACAGTGCATTGAAGCTCAGTGAAGATGAAGAGGATGACTGACACAGTTTACGACTCCTTGGAGCGCAGTCTGAGGACTGCTCAACATGTGACAATGCTCTTGAGGTCTATGGAGTCTGGAGGGTCTACCATATGTTAGATCAACATTTGACTTGGCCAGAAGAAGAGGAAGTTGCAGAATGTAAACCAACATTCTTGGATCCACTGAAAGGACTGGAAGCAGCCAGAAAGTACATGTGTCAGTTTGATACCTAGAACAATAATATTGTAATGTGCAACAAAATTGAAAATTACTTATACAGACTGAGAGGTCAAAAAAAATCAAGAGACTCTTATTGAATGGTTAAAGAAACAGTGTAACTACGCACATATGTACCATATTTGCCAGTCTGCCCAGGCAAGTGCTGGGATATTATCTTTAAACAGATTAACAGTATAATGTAGATGCAGATATGGATATTGATTTATTTTATGATGCTATATCGACTGTGGTTGTTATGTAGCATGAGTATAATGAGAAAGTGATGACCAAGAATCATGCCTGCATCTACTCTACATTGTTAAATGTTCAAACATGTATTTCTTAGATGATCTTCCAGAATTATGGTGTAAAGAGACCAAATTTTATTTACGTTGTATTATTCTTGTTTCCCTGATTGTACACTTTGCTTGATTTTATATTTATTTTAGGCAGTCCCTTAAAAAGTGTAAAATATCAGTTTTACCATAATCTGGTAGGTTGGTACTGGAGTCATTACCCAAAGACCACAAGATGAATTCTCATTGCAGTGTAAACTTTAAATCTTATTTTGAAATAACATCTTGTATTTTATAATTAAACAACATATTTATCTTCTTTATATTTCCGTAATGGCTCTAATGTAAATATCACAAACTTGGTCATGAATTTTTAATTTTTGGTACATACAGCAAATGAAACTGTGTGAAGTATGTGAAGATGTTGAGTCCTGTTAGTTGATATTGATTTGTTTTTTATGTTGGAACAGTATTTAGAACAGCAGCGGTATGGTGATGCATACAGAGCATGGAGAAATGCCACAGCCTTGAAACCAACTCATGTTGTTGCCTGGAGCAACTTGATCATCATGCTTGATAGTATTGGTATGTTACATATTTGATAGCTTTGCTTGTAGTTCATGAAGAGTGACAAACCATAAATAACATCTTCATTGACTGGGTCATGGTGCTGCACTGCACAGTGACCACTGCACCACCAGCTGTGAAGCAAATACGAATGTTGCTACTGAATCAATAAGTCTGATGGCTCATAACATTTGGACTTGTAGTAGTTACACTTCACATATCATAGGAGATGCTGAAAATTCTGTTCCTCTCTATGTAGACATTCCTCAAATTGTTGGGAGAGGTTCTCGTTTACTCTTTGAAGTTTTTCTGCAGAAATATTTACAGTTTCTCTGTGAATATTTTCTCTTTAATCTATTTCTGTTTGGGGGTTGTTCTTATAAACTTTGTCCTTGAGACAGCACCAAAAGAGAAAAATCGTGCTGGCCAAATATGACTGATGATAATTCTGTCCATAAGGACATCAGAGGAAGTCTACTGTGTGCAGTGTGGGCAGTTGCTGATCCTGCCAAAACCAACCATACATTTTGTTTATTCTGTACATTCTGGGAAGAATTGCCTGTACATATTTTTAGCAACGAATAATTTTGTTAAAAAACACATGTTCAACAGTTATTGCAATTACAGCACACCAGACACCAACTTTCATTAAATGGAGTGAGACTTTGTGGGTTAGGCAGGGATTCTGTAAATTCAAGTAATAATTGTTTTACATATTTACACCCTGGAAGTGAAATCATGCTTCATCAAAAATATGTCAGTTGTGGATTGATTTCAACTTTGACAACAGACTGCAGAAACCAATTGCAAAAATGAAGTCTCCTAGCTGGATTGCACAGCGGTAAGGTGTGGAATCCTGTTGTTTTGTAGTATCTAAGCACTAGCAGCTGTGTTGTCCTTCTTGCACTTGATTTTGACACCCCAATCTCTGAAGGTAGATGTTTTTAGTGATTTTATAGGCGTATGTTCAAGTCTGGCATCTTTGTCACGTAACTGCTCCCCAGTAAGCAGTTAGCACTTACATTTTTGTTTCCTGTCTGTTAACAGTCCTGCTAATCTAAGTTTGTTCACCAAATCATGAATTGTTCTTTGCTGGGAACTCTTTCATCATAAAAAATCCACATTGAAATTTTTGCCAGCACTTTTTTGCAGATCTGTATGTCACATACATGTCATACAAAGATATAGGTTGGTCTAAAGTATACACCGTCATGAGATAACACATTGCCCAGCAGTCTGTAACTGAGAACAAAACAGCTACTGGAGTTAACTGCTGCTGACTGCTGACCAATCATAAACAGATTTTCCCCACTGCTCAGGGTGAAACAGTGTCATGAAGTTACATGTAACTTTGACAGCTTCCCCATATTTTTAAAATTTGTATTTAAAAGTGTTTCTGAGGGAAGGATTTACAGACTTCTGAATTATAAAATGTATCATAATAATTTTTATTCATAGGGTTGAATGTTTATGGCCATCCTGTGTATCTCTCCCCCCACATTTATATTTGTCAAAGTAAACTGCTTTTTCATGTTTTGTTATTTCTTTCATTTTAGTGGTCGCAGATTGTGATAACCTGATTTTTAAATGGCTTGAGTCTAAGTTTGAACACCCCTGATCCCATCTTGAAATGTGGTCATAAATCTGACAGTTTTTGTTCTTTTAAGAAATGAAATGAGTGGCAAATACCTAACAGTTTTGATACATGCCCCTTAGTTTAGATATCAAGTAACAACAAATGACTAGGGTTTCATGGAGGGCTTTGCTGATCATGATGAACATATGATATCCTATAGGTTCGTTTTTAAACATTCTGAGTCAAATTCTGGACATCTCTAATCCTTTCTTATGAAATATACCTGGGAATTCAGTAATTTATGTTTATGTGGGAAATAAACTGTATTAAAGCTTCGTAATATATACAACCTTGCATAATGATTTGAAGATGTGTTATAATTGAAATAACTGCAAGTGAAACATTTTTTTTCTCTTTGCTTTGCTTTCTTGCCAAAAGCACCACACTTCTCTATAATCAATCTGGATTGCATCATCTTTGTTTTATGTACCCATATTATAAATCTGTTTTTAGAAATCTCATTTTCAGGGAAGCTAAATTGTACCATAGATTTTTTGTAACTTGTTTACTGTCCATGCTTGAAGTATGGAATTATTATTGTGATGTGGGTGGCACAATAGGAAGTAGGGGTGATGTGAACTCTGTGGTCTCTCGAGTGACGTCACATACCCCCACTCCTTCCATCATTATGCAGTGCTTGGTAAACACACTGTCCCCTCCCTGCGGTGACGTAACAGCACTTCCCACAGTGACGTAACAGGGGACACCGCAGGGAGGGAATGGAGTGTTTACAGAGTGTTGTGTAATGATGGAAGGAGTGGGGGTATGTGATGTCACTCGTGAGACCACAGAGTTCATGTGACCGCTACTTCCTGTTGCGCCACCCACGTCACAATATTATTGTTGTTGTTATGGTAATGATAGTGATGATGATTATGATTATGGTGATGGCGATGATGACGAGGACAATGATTATGATGATGATGATGATGGTGATGATGAACAGGACAAATGGATAGAGCAGAGAGCATAGCGCAAGAAGCGTTGACAATTCTTCCACAAGAACCCTCACTTCATTTTAATCTTGCCAATGCACTGGGCAAAACTGGCCGTTTTGTTGAGGCAGAGAAACATTTCATAGAGGCCATCACTCTGGATAGGAAGAATGCTGTATATTATACCAATCTAGGTAAGTGGCTGGTCTCAATTGACACATTAAAAATTATTTTTAACCTTTACTGGCCATGTGTTGATTATTAGTGTCAGCACGTTGCCTGGTTCAGAAGGCTGAGCTTTGCCTTTTTTTTTCCAGTACTAATACCAGTACTTCCAGATGAAAAATGACCTCCAGATGCATAGATGTAGGAGATTTAAATCTCTGTTCTGTGACAATACACTGTTACCCCAATTTGAAATATAGCAGCCACCCTTGTAGGACCAAGACATTTAAAGTCCATATTCGCAAGTGATGAAGGTTGATTTTTGACTGTTGGGTTGGAGATTTGTCTGATACCTTGTTACTCAAACCCATCTACCTACCACTTGGCACTACAGCCCTGGGTGAGCCTCCATCCTTCCACCTTCATCTTCTTCAGGTCGTTCTCAACATTGTCTGGCCATCTCATCCTGGGTCTTCCTTTTCTTCTTTTGGAATATAACCTTCCCTGTAACATTCTCTTTGGCATTGCATTATCTTCCATCCTTTTGACATGCCCCAACCATCTTATTCTCTGTGACTTGATAAATCTTACTATATATTCTCCTTTCAGTAATGTGTTTATCTCTTCATTGTCTGATACCTTGTTAGCCAAATAAAACCACAGAAGTTTCTTGCTTATATTGTTAAGCAGAAAAGAAATATATTGAGATAGAAGGTGACCGCAAGTAATATGTAAATCTTATGTTAACAAGTTTCTGATTAAATTGTTTCTTTTTCAGTCATCATACTTTTAGTAATGATTCATATATGTATAACTAATTCAGAGTAGAATGACACTTATGTCACTTGTAATATAGCCATTAACATAGATAACCATCCCGTTGACTTGATATTTTCTTACAGTAGACTGACCTGGAAAGCAGAAGAGCAGTTGCACATACTTTTTTGTATATGGTGCACTGAACCAACTGCACTCCCACACAACCTCTGTAGCCAAGTGTGATTGTGTTCTACATTAGTTAATCTTAACATCATTATCAGGCAGAATAATTGTCATGGTATAAATAAAAAGGAAAGTGAGATATGCCATCTTCTGGGATTTGTCACTGTGTAGATATTGTGTAAACTGAAGTTTTGGAGGAATGTCGGTTTACACATATTTTCAGAGGATCGTCAGTTTACACAATATCTGCATGGCGCCCCATTCCAGAAGACTGCATTCTTCATAGTCACTGCCATGAAAATCTCAAATATTACAAAAGGGAAAGTGTATTCTGAATTGCAGAAATATTTGAATTGTATCCCATTCCATGTTACATAATCTCAGGAGTTCAGGCAGAGTTGTAAAATAATACAATAAACAACATATTCCATTGTTCATTATACAAAGGTTGGATAAAAAGTAGTGGCAACACCTCTGTAGTTCTGAAATGGCTTTATTACCTGAGGTAAATACACTTACAGTCCTTCAATATAGTCGCCCCTAATGTGTACCACCTTCTGCCAAATTTGTGGAAGGCGTACACCATTAGCACGTCCACTTCTGTTGATATCCAGCAGTGACCGCCCTACAGCATGAATAATCTCCTCTCTTGTGTTGTAATGTGTCCCTTGCAGTGGTTCTTTCATTTTGGCAAAGAGATCATAATCGCACGGATTCATATCGGGTGAGTATGGCCAATGTTGCAGTATCTCTCATCACCATCGGCGAAAGAGATCCTTGACAGCATCAGCAGTATGAGCCTTTGCATTGTCATGAAGGATGATGGGGTTCGTTGCCAACAAGTGTCATCGCTTTCTCCTGAGTGCTGGACAAAGATGATTACACAGGAAATTGCAGTAGTAGGCAGCGTTTACTGTCTGTCGTTGAGGTACTGTGTGGTGCAGTATCACTCCATCAGTGTCATATGCCACAATGAACATCGCCTTCACATTACTCTGTGTAGGGCACACTTTCTTTGGATGAGGAGAGCCAGGATGCTTCCATTCATTTGATTGTGGCTCCAAGTGCGAGCCCAAGTTTCATCCAGAGTGATGATCCTTCAAAGGAAATCATCACCTTCCCTCTGGTGCTGGTCCAACAAGTCCTGTGCAGTTGCATAACGTTGCCATTGTTGCACCTCGGATATTGTATGGGGTACCACGTGCTGTAATTTGTGGTATTCAAGAATATTGTGCAGAATGTGGAGCACGGTTTTGTGACATATGCCTACCTCAGCAGCTAACTCTCATGCAGCCCATTGACAATTGACATCCAGCAAAGAAGCAAGAAGCTGAATTGTGTGGTTGTCAACATGGGATCGTCCTGAATGATGACTGTCCTGAATGGCATCCCTCCCTTCATGGAACAATTTCACCCACTGTGCCACTGTGCGATATGGCAAAGCAGCATCGCCACATGCTTCTTGCAGTCCCTGATAACAGTTCTGTGCTCTATGACCTCGTGCAACTTCAATTTTTATCCAGGAGCATTGTTCTTGTTTCGTAAACATGTTGTTAGGGTGCTTGAACTGGGCTCCTGCGCTTCAAGACGATGCACAATGCAACTCAATGAAACACAACCAGAGCCACTCACTGTACTACTTCAACTGAACTTCTGCTATCAGCTACTGATGGCGCTAGTGCCACCTGATGCACATCTTTCATGTTACAGCAGTGTTGGCACTACTTTTTATTCAACCCTTGTAGATACATAAAACATTATAGGAGATATAATTACAAAGTATTAGAATTAAATTTGTATGGGTAGTATTTGACAGACTGTTGCATAATTTTATCTGAAAATATTTTCCACTGTCTTGTTTATAAGGGATTCTTAAAAAAACTATGTGTATGGAAATTATGAACTGAAAATTTATTATTCAGGAGTGCTGTATCATCGATGGAAGAAGTATGATAAGGCAGAACGATTGTACCAGCAGGCTCTGGAATTAAATCCACATCTTCAGAGTGCCAAGGATAACATGGCTCTTCTGCAGAAGGCTCGGAATAGAATAGCCAATCAACAATGATGCATTACTTCATCACATTTACTGCTTCTGTCATTGAAGGGAATATTGTTCAGAACAATGCTGTTAACTCTGGAGCATTGTCATTTTTCTGTTGGGCACGTGAAATAAGGACATAAGTAATAGATCTCAAAATTCCAGTGTTATTATCTGACAAAAACTGTCTGCACTTCACTATTGCAGAAATAAACTGTTTACTTGTCAGTACACTTTTGACTAGAGCAGTGGTTTGTACAGGTATAAGATAAAGAAAAAGGCAGCATGACAAGGAATAGCCATTCCTAGTTATAGTGGTGTATATGATACCTCCATTTTCTCTGCAAGGCAGAGGGATTTTATGGAGGGAATATTCAAACCTAGCATTAATCTGATACTCTTTGTCTTCAATAGGCACTTCATGTTTTCATTCAGTTCGTTTTTGTCCAGTAATAACCCTGTACATCTTAATTTATTTACATTTGAACAGATTTTTTATTTGGAACTGTGACACTATGGAATTTATGCCAGAATCATCTTGCTATAGGATTCTGACGATGGTGTATAACACACTGATATATTGGGTTTTTGGACTTTATCCATCGTCCTGGTTTTTAAGATAAGATAAGTTATCCTAAAAACCAGGATGATGGATAAAGTCCAAAAACCCAATATATCAGAATCATCTTGCTTTTCATGTAGGTGTCATACATGAACACTCGTTTCAGTGTGTAACTCACATGTGACTTTCTGACACAAGAAGTAACAGGACTGAATGTTTAATATAGTAGTAGGGCTCAGGTTTGTGATTGACTGGCACATAACACATAAGCTTACTTCATGGTAGCTGTTTAATGATGTGTGGGGTCAGTATTGAAGAAAAATTGTAATATGCATAGGCTAATGGTCTGTTGACATGCCATGGCTTGTAACACACATGGGCAGAATTCATGGAAGAAGGATGTATGTCTTTTCTGCCAGGGCAGCAAATGATTTTTCAGCAGGGTTTCAGATAATCTCCCTGTATGTTGTCCCTGCAGTAGCCTGAGTATTTGCTGAAAATTGACACAGTAAGGACAGTACGCAGAACTCAGAATGTACTTTCATTGACCATTATTAATATTGCACTTAGTTGTAGTTCCGTATTTATGTGTGAAGTTGTTTGATTATTATTTATTTAAGAGATGTGAAGCATTCCAGCTTTACCATGTGAGATGGTATTTTGTAAACATGGTCAAAAATTGGCACAAATGCTCTTGTTCAGCTTTGGAAATGTCAGTGATGGCCTAAGTTTAAGTGACCGTTGTTAGAGATTGCTCAGAGGTCTGATTGGAAGTAGAAAAATCAGAGGGGTAATGTTAACAGAATTTACAAGAAGACTGAAATGTTCAGAGTCCTAACTGCTGTGAAGGCCCTCACTTTGAATTTAAAAAGCATTCCATTTATAGTATATTGGGCGATACCGTGGTAAGTACTTTGATTGTTTGATGCAAATTTTTGGCTCTTGATTGGCCTTTGTGTTAAGTGTACAAGTACTGAGGTGCAGATGAACCTCTATTATTGTATAATGTATGTGTTAGCTTTAACGCTTCGTGACAGTTGCTGGCATTTGTATTGCTCTTGCATGGCTCAGTGTAGTAGTGCCATTTGAGTGAAGGGTAATGTATCTTCTTGAAATATACTAATTAAAGAGTGCTGTCACCTAGGATGTAATTGTAGAGGAACATACTTTTTACATCTTGAGGGTTGAAGAGTAAGCCAGCCTGATGAAAGCAGCAAGCACGCTTGTGCCAGACTACACGGCGTTACATGCCAGAAGATAGTCACTGCTCTAAGAACCTCAAATCCCACCTGTACTACTTACTTTTCAGTTCCTGCTCCTTTACCATCCAAACATATTTCGCACCAAAGTATTGTACATCTAATTGTAATCATGTTTATTTGCTCCATCTTCAGGATCATATCTGTTTGTGGTTGTAAAAGGATGCAATTGAAGTCTACGCTCGTATAATTTTATGGCAGTATTTGTTCAGCACTGTGTTTGTCAAGTGTATGTGGATGATTCAGCAAAAATGCTGAATCCATTGACACATGAAATTTAATGTTGGTTTGGTGTGTAAGCTTTTGTGCTAGTCAGGCATAGCAGAGTTCTCCAGACTTTAGGAATGGTTTTGTTGTATATGCATTATCCAGAAAGTGCACATACTTCATTCATAAATTTTTACATAATAGGATATAATTTTTGGCTTCTCCTCAAGAAGGGCTCAGCTCCATAAGTAAGTAAGTAAGTAAAATATAATTTGCCATGTGTATATTGTAACATGTTTGGGCGACTAGAGACAGGATTCGGATTGATAATTGAATTTATTAGATCTTCACCAGTTGTAAGTACACTTAGTTATTACACAGTTATGGGTTTACACCATTTACACTCACTACATGCTAGTTTTCACATATTTATAACATGGGAGCTATACAAGTCTCACTGAATTACACACTCCCAATTTCACTGCACTATAACACACATAAAGTCTTGAAGTCACACAATAAATCTTCACTGGCTGACTTCTCAGCTATCACTCACTATCACTATCACTATCACTGACTATTACATTCATAAAACCTTGAAGTCTCAAGTTCAGGTCTTCTTCCTCCCGCAGCTGTCTTGCATCAAACACTGACTGAGAACTGACCGACTTCTTAGGAATTCCAGTCTCTCCTGTAAACCCTAGATCGGACAAGCGGAAACCACAGCTTGCTCCACAGTTACATAATCATTGTGTCTACAGAGGCGTTGCTCAGCAATGCATCGATTAGCTGCTGCCGAGATGTGTTTACAGCAGCGCTGCATAGCAATGAGCCTGGCGCAGTTCAGCATGACATGGCACAGCACAGCACGGAGAAAACACTGCTTTCCTTATTGTTGCATAATTGCCATGTTTACAGGTTTCTGTGGCTCAACAGTTCTTGTAAGGTAGGCAGTTACTGGGGCCATTTTGGATCAGTTTCCCAGTGCTGAGACTTTTGATATGTTATAAATGTAAAGGTGTCCCTGTACTTAATTCAGCACCAAGCTGTGAAGGTGTATGGTGGAGTCAGGATAGGGCAGTCAGTATAACTAGTGACTAGGCTGTGGGTTCATCAGCTAAAGAATCGGGATTTGGTTCCTTGCAGGGCAAGAGATTTTTGTCCTCCACAGCATTCAGACCAGCTCTGGAGCTTAGACAACCTCCTGTCCTGGGGCCCTTTTGCCTGGGGTATTACAGCTAGGGTGTGAATTTGACCACTCCATCTAGTGCCGAGGTTAAGAATGCCTGGAGCTACCTCCGCTTGCCCATTGTTGTAATATCAGGAAAGGTCCTAGGGTTCATACTCCTGCTGTATTTTAACATAGATTTAAATTTATATGTATAAAGAAAATAAAATGAAATGCAATTGGAATATCTGGTTCCCAAAAAAATCAGGTGAGCCAAATACTTGTCAGGCCTGTTATCCCTGTGCACTGAATTGAGTTTTTATCATTCCTCTTTTATCCAAGGAAAGTGAGAAGTTGCAATTTTTTCCCTTCCTTGAAAAATCATTGCAACTTCAAAATATTTGTTTCTGCAGATGCTTCATGCAAGTCCATAATTTCCTGCCACAGAATGATTTATGCTAGACAGTATGATGCAGGCATTTCTTGTTTGGAACAGGCCATGTGTTAAATGTGAGAGACTAGGAAAGGAAAAATATTTTAAGAATAAGAGGATTGTATAGTTTCTGAAATTGCCTCACATTTTTTAATCTTTTCTGATACATGGATACGTCTTAGTGTCTTTTAAATGTAATCAACACTCAGTGATTTTTCCACCTGGGTGGTTACCTTCATGATTTGTCTTTCTCATTTTGTCTCTACCTGGTCTTTAACCATCCAGATGTTTATCTTATATCATCATTCTTTATTCTCACTTGTAAATCCTACTGCCATCCATTCATAACACGTGTCTATACCTCTGTCATTAATTTATGTTATAATAACAAAAGCTCAAACTCAAGTTTAAGTTAATTTCTCTGCCACGCAAGAATCTAAGCAGTGTATTTGGAAATCTTGCTCTGATCCATAGGTTAGCCAAGTCATGCACTTTTAAGATTACGTTGGTTCTTGTCATGTGTCACATGTTTAAATAAGTGGAACTGAAAGGGGTATGTTTTCCATCCAATGTCAAACCAAGTCTCAAATTCTAAATTCATACTCATTAAGTAGGATACAACTTGTATCATTTGTACTCTAAAAATTCTGGTCAAAGACAAGAAGTAGGGGGGAAAACAGGCAAGAATGTGTAGATGCAGCAGCAACAGTGACAGTTAGGCCATAACAAATCGATGAAGATGGATTGTCAGTCCAAAATAAGGAAATTATGATATTTGTAGAGTTACAAGATTATTTTAGAATTAACACGTGCAGCCATTGTCAACATTTTAATGTCAAGCAACAAATGCTTTTAAAATAAAGTATAAGTACTTAGCCAGTAACCTTTATACTCCAAAAAATTCCCATAAATTTTAGAATTCGGTGGGCATAATCAGAATATTTGGAGTATAAATGATTCAGGTTATATTCTGACACATTCACACACAATATTAAATTACTGTAAAACAATGGCATGAATAGTGTGAAGTTCATAATTAATCAGACTGGGTATGATTTGTTATATTAAAACTGATGGAATTGTCATTGCAGTTGTATTTTAGAATGTAAAGGCTATTGTAAGATACCATCTGGATTCTGCGGATTCCCTTTTCCTGACAGATCTGGAATCATTGTCTTTAGCAAGTTAAGTTTGGGGTATAAGTTTTTGTTTTTGTGAAATGTCATTTAATTGTTAAGAACTAGTTTCACTTAATGTGAATATTATCTCTCTCTTTCTCTTGTCATGCAATTACTAATCCATGTTGTGTTAATACTTTGGTTGCAGTATGTTATCATAAAAATTGTATGTTCATCATCATGTTGTTGTAAACGCTGTTTTTGTAAGAGATCTTTTTTACTTTTATATTTTATTGGTAAAACACTGGACTCATGGATGTAATAGTGTTAAATAAAATATGTTTTATTGGAAAAACAGTAATTTAGTCTGGAACTTGCCTGTGGATTATGAACACTAGTGTATCTACTGTCTGCCCATTTTTCAGTCTGACATATCCTCATATACAGTTTTACATATTTGATTTGAATCAAGTGCGTGTAATGGGCCTTTTAACTGAAATTATATTCAAGTGATAATAGCTCTTGAAGTGCACCCACACCCACATGTGCTCAACACATGCATGCATGCATGTACATATATATGCATGCACATATTTTCCATACACAGTGTTATATGCACCTGATTATACCCAACCTCATACCCATGTGACGTATGTATAGTTAATTAATAATACACTGGATTAAATATCTATTAATTGATAACAGTACTAGAAGTTGTTAATTAATTTTCAGTTCATTTCCACTAAATATTTGTCATACAGAGGTGTAACTCTTCTATCCTTTTCTGAGTGCTCCTGTATCTGCCTGTCTAGCATGTAGATAGCGTTGGTGTCTTATTCAGTTATTCTGCGAGCATAATATTCAAG